ACAAGGGTCCGTACGGACTTATGCCGCAGGCCCGGCTCCGGCCCGGCGACGAGGCTGCTAAAAAAGCGGCCCTGACGCCGACGTTGCGGGTGGTTACTACCTTACTCAGGTTATTACCTCCGGGGGTCTACTACATCTTTTCAGATAATCTATTTACCTTGGTGAAGCTCTTCCGGGCCCTCCGGTAGTAGAATATCGGCGCTACGGGCACTTACCGAAAAGACGCCAGTATTAGTAAGATCCTTATCGAGGAGAAGGAGATAGAGGGCAGAGAGATACCATAGGGTCGAATCCACTATATCCTAACTATAGATAGTTAGGTATAATTAACAGAACTTCTCTTTATAACTACTAAATTATACTTTAATATAGTTACTCTTTTAGTATATTCTAGGTTAACTAGCTAACCTGGAAGGATAACGCTTTAGTTCTCTTCCTTACGACTATCTATAACTATACCACCGAGATCCTCTAGAACCACCGCCGGCCTATTAGCGATTCCTTGGCGAAGCGGGCCGCTCGTCAAGTGTTCGGCTCTAAAGTCCGGAAGCTTCTTCCGGTGCCCGTCTATATCGACGATTATACCTATAATATGAACAGTATCGATACTGTTACGGCCAGCTAGTCGTAGTGAGGTATGTTTGCAGAAGTTGAGGCTGCGGAACTGGTAACAGTAATCGTAGTCGGAGATAGCTTCAGGGAAGCTATGTCTGTAAGTCGTAAGGTAAGGTAAGGCTGCGGTGATCAATCGTAGTCTTATCAAAGAGGTTCTCAGGGAAGATAGCTGAAAGCGATCATAAGATCTGATACGAAGTTAATTGCTGAAGAAGCTATAGGAAGTCTATCCTAGAGTCCGGCTTAAGTTTATCCTATATATAAGTCCTGGTCTTGAATATAACGTACTTGATAAGCGAGCTGCCCAGACAAGCGAGCTGCCCACCTAACCATGATCACATTATAAATCTGTCTAAGGAGCAACACTAAAAACATAAAATCAATTGAAACTACTCTGAATCCTATTCCTCAGACATTTCTTCATTAAACTGACATGTTCGCGCATTGTGGCCAGTGTTTCCGCAGACGCCACATCGCCGTCGACCTGTTTCTGTCCTCGGCCGACGACCATTACTCTGGCGCGTTTCCTCCTCAATCTGGGCCGTAGCCTCTCTCTGCGACTGAATGTCCTCTGCCTCAGCTACAGTAAGACTTCCTCCTTGTCTGAGACGTGTTTTCTTAGCCCTCCTACGTCGGCTAAGTAGGTTATTTTCCTCCCGGAGGATCTGGACCTCCGACCTTAATAAGGCAATTTAGTGCATAAATCCCCGCGCTCCCTTTGATAAATGCTCTACAGCTTCAATAATTGAAGTTGGGGAGCTATTTTGATGGCGGGAGATCCTCCTTTTGATGAGTTCGGACTGAGAAGAGGCCTCTGTTGGGTTATTTGGCGTCTGAGAAGTCCACGCGGGGGGTGTTGTTGGTAGGGACCCTGGGGGTATTGGAGTGTGTAACTTGACATCAAGCTTCGAAAGTACACTTTCGGCACTCAAAAGAACAAGCCCGGCCCCTCTGAAGCCTCCCTGGATGTTTTTTACCGTTAGGGCTTGCGTGAAAGCGTTGTGAAATGCAGGGAAGAAGTCCTCCTTCGTAATATGGGTATTACCCCGGCGCATCTTATCCTCAATTTGTCGACCATAAGCCGTCTTTAGTGGCCCAAAACCCCTAACGTCTAAGGGCTGAAGTAGATGAGACGAATGGGCCGGCATGCAGAGTGTAACGATATTGTTTTCCTTACAATATATCTCAAAGTCTGCAGAGTGGTGACTTTCGTGCCCATCGGCGACGAGGAGGCGATAACTGCTAGTTATATACGGTTTTATATATCGATCAAAGTGCTGGAGCCAGTCTAGGCCTCTTTCATTTGTTGTCCATCCGTTTTCAGACGTTGCAATGACCTAGTCGCGTGGGAGATCTGTTTCTATATACCTGGTAGAGAGGTGATATTGGCCTACAACGATAATATACGGCGGAACGCTATAGCTTAACGAACTGATGGCCTGAATGACTGTAACCCATTCACGATTGCCAGGCTGTATCATTTTTGTATTTGAACGCCTTTCGGCACTCGTGACGACCATCCCGGATACAATCTGGCCCATCATAAACCCAGTCTCGTCGAAGTTATAAATATCGGAGTCTATAATACCGTATTTCGCAATTATATTCGCTATAAGCCGAAACCACGCATTTATCGCGTCTAGATCTTCGCATCAGGCCCTCTTATAGTCGTATTTGCGAAAAAAGCGCGTCCGGAGCTGTGGTTGTCGTTTAACAAAGTTTGAAGCCCAGCGCTTCCCAACTAGGGGCGCGTCGCGGTCGGCGAGCAATCGATTAGCCATTTCTTCCATACCACTGATCCGGGGAGGAAACGATCGGGAATCCAGGTCGAGGATATACTCAACTAGCTTCTCCTCTTCAAGCTCCGTCAATTTGCATAAGTTAGGTATAGTGTCTTGTCGTATAGGTGTGCCTTTTAATCGGGTGCCTAGGTGTTACGACCCAACATGAAGACCAGGGCGTGCCCCGCTGACGCCTAGCGGCTACGGCGCATCATATATGCAGGACGGGACGGAACATTAGGGAAACCCCAGGAACGGAAGAACTATGGTACAAGTCACGTGATGATAAGAGATATGATAAGGGATAAGGATATGTTGGATATGCGACATATCCAACCGAGTCAAGGATATGTTGGATATTCGACATATCCAACCGAGTCAAGGATATGTTGGATATTCGGCATATCCAACATATCCAGACAAAGTGGACTGTTCAGCACTGTTCAGTTAGGATCGGACTTGTATATAAGGATGGACTCGAGCTGGGCTCTAGGACAGACTTTCCATAGCTCTTCAGCAATTAACTTCGTATCAGATCTTATGATCGCTTTCAGCTATCTTCCCTGAGAACCTCTTTGATAAGACTACGATTGATCACCGCAGCCTTCCCTTACCTTACGACTTACAGACATAGCTTCCCTGAAGCTATCCCCGACTACGATTACTGTTACCAGTTCCGCAGCCTCAACTTCTGCAAACTACCCCTACGACTAGCTGGCCGTAACACTAGGGTCCTAGGTGAGACTGAATAGATTCTTGCTGCGGCTCGAATGCTGAGTTTAGGGTTTTTTTGGATAGCCTCGACTGCTAAGTTCAATTGGGCCTCTTTGCTTTGTGACGACATGATTATTTGTGGCGTGATACGCATTAGAAGTGAGGAGGAAGGATGAACGCGGTTGGGTGGGCAGCTCGCTTATCAAGTACGTTATAGTTTAGTTAATATTAAATATTATAATATTTTATTCCTATATCTCGGCTATATAGTTACCTCCTAGTATCTAACTTTCCCTTAGCCTTAAGCTTATCTCTAATACTCTTAACCTCTCGCTCTAGTGTTACGGCCAGCTAGTCGTAGGGGTAGTTTGCAGAAGTTGAGGCTGCGGAACTGGTAACAGTAATCGTAGTCGTGGATAGCTTCAGGGAAGCTATGTCTGTAAGTCGTAAGGTAAGGGAAGGCTGCGGTGATCAATCGTAGTCTTATCAAAGAGGTTCTCAGGAAAGATAGCTGAAAGCGATCATAAGATCTGATACGAAGTTAATTGCTGAAGAGCTATGGAAAGTCTGTCCTAGAGTCCGGCTCGAGTCCATCCTATATACAAGTCCTGGTCCTGAACATATCCCTTGTCAATGATCAGTTCCTCTGATCGGGTGAGCGCTCATCGTTCGGCATGAGCGCTCATTGTTCGGCATGAGCGCTCATTACTTGGCATGAGCGCTCATGGCCCCACCATGGTCGCTCATGGCCCCGCCATGGCCGCTCATGTCTTATCTTATCTTCACGTGACTTGTACCATAGTTCTTCCGTTCCGTGAGAGGGTGCCTAGTGTTCCTTGTCCTCTGCATACATGGTGCGCTGTAGCCGCCGCGAACCTGCGGGGCAGAGCCTGCGGGGCAGACCTTGTTCTTGGTCATGCATGTTGGGTCGTAACATTTATATACAGTCCCGTCGCATCGTTACGGGGGGTGCTTTCCTACCCTTCTTATAATATTCGCTAGGCGGTCGTTTCGGGAATACTAGGAACAGACCTCGCCCTTGTTAGAGACCCATTCTTGGAATACATTTCTGGAAAGCCCAAGATGTACATTTCAGAATGGCTTGTGAGAGCACCACGTGACGAAAAACTATGATTCTTTCAACATGAGAATGCTCTGAGCTTTGCTCCTACGCACAGCTTTGAATGGCAGACCGTCGCATTGCGGAAAAAAAAGCCCTGCTGAGACACATCTAATCTTATTGATATATCCTGTGAGGTGGTACAATGACTCATCCTGGATTAGTGGCAACCCACGAGCTAGGTCTGGAGGGATGATTAGGTTGTGGTGGTCATTGTCGATAACTTAGGAAGCCAGGCTCGCCGTCGGCTTAAGCTAAGAGAGTACGCGCGAAAGCCCGAATACGCGGTCCGAGTATCATCAGCCACAATCCACGCCGCATCATTCGAGGTTTCATGCTTGGTGCAGCAAAGAAAACCGGGGCTTCTAGAAGGCTTGACAAAGGATAGCTAAGGGACATTCCCAATTTGTTGCGTAGAGTTGTGGGTGAGCTTCCCGATGTCGGGAAATTTCTTCTCCTCTCCAAGGTTTAGGGAGTAGACCGCAAAAGGCTTGCATTCCGCTCATCGACCAGGGACTTTGGAGAACTCTTAGGCCACGGCCTGACTCTGCCGCGCGTTCATATATCCTCAAAGGTGCATCATTTACAGATGAGGTAATACTTATCATACACGTATGTCCGTCGTCAAATTCCTTAAATACTAAAGTTCGTTCTTACTTTCTCAATCGATTCGATACTCGCGTGCCGTGCACTATTCACTCATTCATTCTTTTGCCATTCCTCTACAGCCTTTCCACATTCGTTTAAGCGGTCAACTAATCACCTTCAAAATGGCTCTCAGTAGGTTGATACTGGCCGTTGCTGTGCTCGGCACAACCTACGGAGCTGCCATTAGCAACACCACTCGTGTCCTCGACCTACCTCCTCGTTACCACAACGGTACCGTCAGCGTTGAGCATCTCTCGGTGGCGGGGAACCTCGATGGGTTCAAGATGCTGACTCCGGCTGCCAAGAGTTCAGCCGACTTTTGGTACTTTGACGTCGTTTCGAAGTCCACTAACCAGACTCTGAACATCGTCTTCTTCAACTCAGGAGATTTTGCACAGTACCCGCATCCACTCGCGGTCCAAGTTTCAGGAGTTTACCCGAATGGGACAGACTTCTACTTCGAAGCTATGGCCGATGCCGGGGTCCACGTCACCAACGGTCCCCATGGTATCACTGGAGCCTGGGAAGGTATTGGATCCTTCACGGGAACCTCGTTGGACAAGCCTGATGTGAATTATACGATCAACATCAACTCCGAGTATATGGGCATCTATGGTACCATCTCTTTTAAGGCCGTGAGTGAATTCCCTATCCTCATTTTCGCCACTCTTCATTCTCAAGGGACTGACACAAAGATTTATAGACTGCTCCGGCCCACTACCCCTGCGACCTGAATGGCGCAGTTGGCGTCAACTAGGACCTCTTGCCAGGACTGTACTGGGCTAACGCTGTCCCCGATGCCGACACTATGGTAGACCTCGTCGTTAAGGACACGGTTATTGCCTTCGAAGATGGCATTGGATACCACGATAAGAACTGGGCCAACCAGTCCATCATCGACGGTCCTCGTTATTGGGACTGGGGCCACGCTCGCTTTGGTCCCTACTCCATCGTCTGGTACAACCTTCTCGACTATAGTGGCAATGAGAGCAGACGTTCTTATGTTTCAAGAGACGGAGAAGTTCGTCTCGTCAGCCGCGACATGGCGAGCATAGAAGTTCGCCAGAAGGGAGGAAAGGCAGCTTGGCCTCCTACCACTGGACTGCTTGAGACCGATGGCCTTTCCGCCAAGTACAACCTCACAAACGGCGACGTAATGGAGGTCGATGTCACTACTCAATTCATTATCAGGGATGAGAAGGGCGCTTATCAGCGCGCCAATGGTCTCGTCAAAGGCGGTATTGCTGGAAAAGAGACTTTCGAGGGTCGCGGTCACTACGAAAAATTCATCTTTGGGATCGTTAACGACTACACTCCGCAGGTCTAAAGTCTGAATTCATTGATTGTTCATGTGGTTGAAGCGAACTGTTTAATCTTGAATTGTTGCCGGAGTATCTGTACAGAAAATTCTTTCGGGGAGACCAACTGTTCATCGCTGCACTTCCGCTAGGAGCTGTCTTGACCCTATGCACATAGCTTAACTATTCATCAAATGACCTCTAAATTGCACTACATACTTAGACAGAAACATTTCCAAAAACTCGAGAGGCTATAGTGACTAGATCAAAATTCAACGAACGGGGTGTCTTGACCTCCAATATCAATATCACAGACCTTCGCTTGCAAATATCACCTCTGGCAGCGCGTCGACCCCATTTGCCTCTTTTAGCTCGTTCTCCTACCCAGATCTCCCAATTTTAAAGCCCCCGGGAACTCTACTTTGGAATGCTCCGCTCGGGTCATACTTGGCAGCAACATCCCGTATGAACTGCACGTTCTGTAGGCCATAACCTGCTAGGGCATCCTGTCGAGGACTGGCATAGTTGAGATAGACCAGGTCCATGGCGCCCCCGACAGATTTCGCGAATTTCTCAATCATGTACGACATCGCAGCCAAACGTGCTTGCGCGATGGCAAAGTCTGCATCGTTCGTCAAGACATACACACCTCCCGTCCACATGATGGCATTGGACTGCAATCTGTCTAGCCCAAGCATGTTCCCGCCACGTTTTTCTGCAATACTCCCGTAATCGATTCCCACGGGTTGTAAAAAGATCATCGTTCCAAATGCTTCTGGACTGATGGAATTCTGAAGTGACTTGACAAAGTCTTCGTGGAGCTTGTTGGCGTAGCGAAGGATCTCTGGGTCATTCCTGAACAGGACAGTCGCCGCAGCACTTCTAGAAATCACAAAGTCAGCCGATGAATGAGTGCTTCAGGCATAAGCTAGACCTACAGCTGTCCGCCCTGGACTTTCGAACCTGCGGCAGTCTTAGCCACAGACTGTTTCACAGAAACATTGCGAAGAGCCGGAAGATCTCTGAGGTTATCAAAAGCCGTTCCGATGTCATCATCTCCAACAGTGTTGACATAAATGGCCGTGATCGTGATATCAGAGCCTGCGCTGCCGTTGTATTGGAGAAAAGTGACGAGTGCATTATCAGCCAACGACATGTTGTGATTCGCAAACTTGACAAGTGTGTCGGAAACCACATCTAGAGCACTTGCCGGCAGAATTCGGACTTCGTAGTGGATGTCACGGGCGGGAAGGGCTTCTAGGTCGAACCTCGTAACAATGCCAAAATTGGAGCCGCCACCCTTAAGCGCCTTCCATAAATCCGAGTTGCTGGTATTGTTCGCATTGACCACGCTGCCATTGGTGAGAACCACCTCGTAATTGAGGACAGAGTCGCAGGCGAATCCATACTTGGGTGAGAAATAGGATGTGCCGCCGCCGAGGAGAAACCCGCCCACCCCAACGTCGCCATCGCGGCCACCGACTACCACGATGCCTTGCTCTTCCAGGCTGGCGTAGACATTCTCCCAACGGCCTCCTGAGCCGGTCATTACGGTATTAGTTGCAGCATCATAAGTGGAAGAATTCAGCATGCTCAAATCGATAGTCACGCCATTCTGGATGTTGTTGTTCAGCTGAAAGCCGTGGCCTCCACTCCGGACCGCTATGTGCCAGTCCCCGGCGCCGTTGTCAGCTTTGAGGAGCGTGGTCAACGTGAGGGAAACTTCTTCGGTACTCTCGGGCAGCACAAGACACCACGGATGAAGTTGGGCGTTTCGAGCCCACCAGGTTTGGACTTGCTTCTCATACCCTGGGTCGATTGGCGATAAAACCCTGTCCCTTAAACCAGCGGCGATGAGTGCGTCACACTGGCAGTGTTAGTGAAGCCCCCCACAGTGACTCAAACGGTGCTCACTGGTGGAGTGCCCCCGGTAAAGGTCTTCGGCGTGCTTATGTCGGCAGCTAAAGACTTTAAAGCAGCCAGCGACCCGACAAGGGTACAAAGTTTCCAGGAGTGGTAAATCATGGCGGAAATGGTGTGTGATTGAAGAATGCTGCTAAGATCGCGTCGATGTAGCCAATGTTGCCTATCAGTTGTCGATGAACAGGATAATTCACGTTCATTGTGGTGCAGAATGCGCGCCTTCTTAAATAATACAAATATTCCCAAAGCCGTATTACAGAGTCTTTGATGAGCCTAGGTTGAGTTGAGATCGCTACAACCCCGGGCCCTCGGGCCCTGTGGTGTCTTCCAGCCATCAACAATGGATATATTCGTATGGCGCTGTGAGAATTCACGGGCGCAAAGCCACACGTGTTCTTAATTATGTGGCGCATGTTCGGATGGAGTAAGATCTCAAATGAGCTTGTTGGATTCTCGGGGCCTCGGGCCCGGAGATGGTTTGCGGTCCAAGGTCCCCCGGCCAAGTCCTGGCTGAGTGGACAACCAAGCCGCAGTGATCATCGTCGTTGCCTACTTTCGGCTCCTTTTGCGTCGTCAGCTTGCCAACGGTAGGATGAGGGGGCGTGAAAACGAGATAGTCTCATAAACATGAGCTTGGCTGGTATCTTGCGCAACTTCTCAAGTAACTATTTTCCGACGTACGTCTTTGGGGGAGCTGGCCCCTGAAAATGAAAGATAGCGATTGATTTCCAATAGAAACTTGGTACTCTGCTGGTTGGCATGAATGGCATTTGCTAGGTAGGGAATGAGAAGATTCTCGAACTTCAGGAGACACACGCTCATGACCGCAGTTTATGCGATTTCCCTTAAGTCTACTCTTATATTTTTCGACCGTATCTCTTGAAGTACGCACGAATTAGTCTTTTCGGATTTACTTAGGGACAGGTCATTAGAATAAGTCGATTTATAAGAGCTCAAAGTTGAGGGGGCAGGAGAAGCGCGTGTCAGCATTCACAATGTTCGCATGAGCGAGATCCTACTTAAGTCCATCGGGCCTCGAAGACCGATGGAAGTGTGATCGAGAGCTTAACGGAGTACAGTGCCGTACCAAAAGTAACGGTAATCAATTTTTCCCCCACCAAAAATACGCTATCTTTACCAACTTCAACAACAGACCATACACTCAAAATGCATCGTAAATTTATAAAAGCTTTTAAGCATAACTAGTTAATTACAACAATGGGGTTGTGATTACTTTGATTGCCAGGACTCGCGGCACGATAAGTCATGCCTTTTGCTTCGATTCGTATTGTAAAACTACTACATAAGTCACCTTACAAAGTGTTCATCGGGCGAGAAATATTTAAGAAGTAGGAGTTGGATAGTTTCACCGCGCAGAGTGCGAACCGGGGGTGTGAAATAAGCACTACTTTGACACTATGGATTTGACACATGACCAGTCGAAACGCTGTGCGTCTCAGACGAAATTCATGCTCACATGGCCACATTACACCTCTTTGTACAACCCTCCGATCAGCAGGGACCGATCCTGAGCTCCGAAAGAAGCCTCATACATGTTGTTCTTACGGTCGTACCAATCCATGACATTTGTCAACCGACCTTCTCCATCGATGAACTCAACGTCATCACTAGGTCGCAGGAAGTATGTGACAGAATAGCGATCCACATCAGGCAGCGGAAGCACCCGGTGTACCGCCGACTTCAGTCTATCGCGTGTCAAGAATCGTAGCACATCAGCCACATTGACAACGGCGCAACCGGGACGCGGCTCGACATACTGCCACTCTAAGTTTGCTTCCACCTTCTCTTTCTTGAGATTCGCATCGTCGGTGCTCTCATTGTGTCCTCTGTGGTAGCCACTATCGAGACTTTCATCTGAGTCGTGAGACGCTGAAGAGGAGGCCGATGACGGGGGGGGCGCTTCAGGAGGTGAAAGAACTTGCAACCCCCACTGAGGCGCAAAGACAAGCGTTAGTGTGCCATAGTCAGTGTGGACGTTGTGTCCGGCATAACCTCCTGTCGGATCCATAGGAATGTAGTGCAAGAACGCAAGCGCGCTCTTAGACGGGCAGTCGCTGCGATGGAAGTGGTTGAGGCTCTGTGCCCCCTTTAGGCCCAAAGCGTTGGAGATGCGGTCAAGAAGCACTCGCGTGATGTAATGACACTGGCTCTGGAACGAGGTGAACGTCTGGAGGTTACTTTCGACCACGGGGGGTAGACCCCACCGTCCGGCCAACTCGAAGCTACCGGTCTGGGTACTTGTTATAATCGTCATTCTCCGTGGATGCTAGTTTTTATCACTCACCTTGAGAACTTCCCAGCCATCACGGCCCCCATGCGTTCCAGCCTGGGATCCAATTGGCTTGTATCTGAATGTGGCAGGTTGAATGAGCTTCACGAAGGACTAAGGGCTCAAATGAAAAGGACAACTATCACATACCCATGAGATGCCATGCTGATGGCAAGCTCTTTGCGCTTTGCGGCGGCTGGCTGGTTAAACCAGTCTTTCATGACAATGTTCAACTTGTCAAGATTCTCTAGCATTGTGGCGGAATACTGGTCCGAAATGTCCAAGTAGAAAAATCCAACATTCTCGCAGGCAGAGACGATCTTGTCAATGGTCGCCGGATCGCGGTCTAATACTTTGGAGAAAACCACCGTGTCTAGGTTTGCCGTTGGTGCGTAGGGTGCAGCAGTACCATCCATCTTTTTTGAACCAGCCACGGTCATCTTGGGGAAAGAAGGAAAACTGGATGTGATATTGTAAATGTACTACTGTTGATGGCGATGTGAGAGAATTAATTGAAAGTTTTGAGGTAGGCGAGCTTCTTGGATAGGTTATATAACGAACACTCAGTCGTAAGATGTAACTTTCAAATATTAGGAGACACTTGCCTTTTCGCAGGCCGCCTTAGTTAACTTCGATACCATGGGTAGCTACGCCCGCTTACGCGTCAGTTCAATGCCTTGCTGATTCTATAAACGCCAGAGAGACCTATCACATCTACTCGTCCTCGACTCTATCTCGTCTGACCTGAAATCAGGCTATGACTTTGTTCACTTACTTCCGAATCGATACATTCAATGACATGAAATCCATCTTCAACCCGTAGATCGCCTCTGGATCATGTCGTACGAGACTTCCACCCTTCCTTTTCGGGGTTACTTCCATGTATCTCTTTACCTTCACGAATTCCTTGTCTCGGATTACAAGTACTATTAGAATGCGCCTCACGGTTACGTCCGCTGACTGCCTAAAATGCGGGACTTTTGTCAGAATTCCCTCGCTCTGTGATCCTCTCCTGAAGCATAAGGTGTTCAAATCTTCGTGTGATGAACATCGTACATGTTCCACTAAGCGCAGGGTTCCATCCGAGGCTGAAAATCGAAACAAGGCGCCCGCGAGAGCTCAGCGAGGGGCCCTGCAGGGGCTGTGTCTCACTCTGGCTGTAATCTCACTTATGCGGGAGCGTTGAGCTTGTATCTTCCAGTAACAACGCGGCTGTCGCACAGGAAACGTAGTTACCCTTTCAAAGGCCGCCGGTAATCGGTGCCCGATAGCCGTGAGAATACCTACTTCATAGGACGACGACAAACATATGACTAGAAGAGGAAAGTGCATATACAAAGTTTGGGAGGCGTTTGCCGCTAAGACAGAAACGCGGCGCAACGGGAATGTAAGCGTTGCATTGCAGGGAGAGGGTGGCCCGGTGAGATGTGGGGGGAAGGATCGGAATGGAGTCATAGCCGTGTCTCGGCGCAATCACTTTCACACTACTGGTCACCTCGGCTTCCCTGCTCAACTCAAGTCTGAGAACGACCTGAAGTGATAACCAAAATATCGTCGAGATAATCACAGAGTTGCCACCACACCATGCATGTCAGCCCCCGACTGAAAACATGCCCGATTCAAACAGCTCGACTAGACAGAATCCAGCTGAATCGATAGGAAATGGAAATCCAATGAAGTTCCAAAACGGTTTTATGTGATAGTACTGGGACTTACGTGGAAGTAGGGCCTATAGACTAGGCTTCGAGGTTGAAAAGGACGTGTTATAATGGCCGCTTTCCAGGTCATTCTTCGCATCGGGTTCAGCTTGAGTCAAGACCATTTCAAGCTTCTCACAATGCCGTACTTCGAAGACACAACTAGCCTCAAAGGTCTTAGCAAGTTCGATGACCTTGTGACGGCCTTGAGGGACGCTCTCGGTTCTTCAGGCTTGACCTGTGATGACATCGACCTTGACTTCTTGATGGACCTCATGAAGACCTATACCAGCAACGAGAAAGAATGGAAAGCCTTTGCACTAGCCAATCCTAGCATGGCATACACTCGTAACCTTGTAGACGAGGGCAACGGCAAGAGTAACTTGGTAAGTCATGTGTCATTCAAACACGCTCATCAGTCTCTAATCGACGGGGATACAGTTGGTCCTCGTCTGGACGCCCGGCAAGGGAAGCCCCATCCATAGTCACAGTAACGCACACTGCTTGATGAAAATCCTCAAAGGCAGCCTAACAGAGACACGTTACGACTTTCCCCAAGAATCGAACCGAGAAATTATTTCAACCCCCCTAGACGACAGGAATGCAAGCATGGATGTCGCTTTGGAGTCAGTTTACACGGAGAACGATGTGGCCTATATGAGTGATGACCAGGGTGTGCACAAGATGTGGAACAACAGTGACAAGTTTGCCGTTTCGCTCCATCTCTACACGCCTCCCAATATCGTCAGGAACGGTTGCTACGTCTTCAATGCTGACACCGGGAAGGGAACTCTTGTGAAAAACTGCGAGTACTATTCTGTTCGGGGTCATCGATTGGACGGGCTGGTGAGGGAGACGGAAGCCGTGTCATCTCTACTTTGAAATTGTAATTCTAAGACGTACTCGCTCGAGAGTGTATACTAGTTTTTCTGCCAACAAAACCTTGTTCGCGTGCAAGGTGTTCCAATAGCAAACTTTTATCCTCAAAGACTGCTTGCACGAACCAAATTTTCAACATACGATCATCTGTTTTCCCATGTCTCACGTGTAAAACAGTTATCAGGGGCTTCACCCAAGTAATAGTAGTAGTAGTAGTAGTAGTGGTGTTTTACATCATCAGGGACAGGTGCCCAGCTATCTATGTAACTAAGCTCCGATCAACCAGAGAGCCCTTTGGGCATATGATGTGCCGTGCCGCCATTATAGCGTACGACAAGTCAGGCAGTCTATAATGTACACTTTTCTTCTCGTGCCTAGAGCAGTGGAGTTTAGTATCTAATCCCCAGGGTCCGTTCAGTTCCAAAAAGCACGCCAGCAGGGGGTCCCTGACTCGGCAGAAGCGAATGGGTCTCTAGCAGCCCTACGCCGTCCACAGACGGCGTTGCCGCAACAAGTAACCGGCCCTCGGAGGCATATTTGCCTACGCGAGCATTTTTCTGTTTTCTTATATTTTCTTATATAGAAGATAAAGGAGGAAGGAAGAGAGAGGGGTGTGGTAAGGCCGGGGCCTCAAGGCGTCGGTGGGTGTGTGAGAGAGTTGTGAGGCGCGGGATCTCGGGCTCGCTATCTTTGCAGAGAGTGAGCCTCATAGTAGCGCGTCACACGCTCGAACTTCTCAAAGGCACACCCAAGTAATATAGACGGTTTCATTTTATCAATTTGACAATCCATCAGCGCTCGGTCTACATGTTCAAAGTACGCATGTGTCAAGGGCGGTAGGAGCAATGTTGCAACTCGTACTTCCTTTCTCAACTGAGAATCCTCAGATGACGAAGGGAAGGTTTCCTGTTCCTCTAGGTAGGCCTACGTGTCCTTTTATCTGCTGTTACCCTAGTGTCTCCCTTGCATCCACCTGGATGTCTTACTATCAAGCCGAGCATAGCCGAGAGCATCCCATGTGAAGGGCTCGGCCCGTAACAGCATGTAAGCTAGTCAACAGAATTGCACCTCATCAGCCTCAGTTGGGAAGGCATGTCTAGAATACCGTTCTCCTATTTTGCCGCTCAACTCTAGTCTGCGCAATCTAACTTTGGGAAGAGAATGGCAGGTTTTAAGTTGTCTTCCGTTTCTTTAGAAGTCCGAAGGCTCCTAGGGTAGCTGCTGTCATCGTAGTTCCCAACAGAATGATCAATGAGCGCCACTTTCCAGCACCGTACCCAGGCTGTATTCCAATATGCTCGCTGTCTTGGAGAACAGCCGCAGCGATATAGCCTGACGCCACGCCTATGACACCTCTAGTGAATAGGAGGATGCCGGAGACAAAGAGTTCCTCGGCCGGCCGCTCGGGATCGTCGACCGCAATGGCCGCCATGTGGCTTCGCAGAACCATGAAGCTGAAGGCAAATGCTCCAAATAAGATCGAAGTGATCACCATATTCCAGTAGTATCTGCCCAATCCCCACACAACAAAGACCGCAAAGCTGCTCACGAGGGTGCTTAGCAGCATGGGTATCAAAGGTCCGATCGCATCTCTGTTGTATATACCTGTTAGCATAAAGTCATTCGTAGACCTTGGGGGCGGTTCACTCACGTCAAGGCTCCAAGAGAGATTTGGCCGATGATTCCAAACAGCGACAAGAATGTGACCAGCAATGCACCTTTCTCCGGTGAGATACCGAGATCCGTAGCGTAACTGGGCAAGTAGTTCGCAGGTAGATTATTTGCCAGACTCTGTAGCGTCATCGAAAAAACAAAGAGCCAGAACACCGGCTTTCTGAAAACTCTGGTGGTAGACGATTGTTGCCGAGCTGCAGCCTCCATCTCCGCTTTGCTTGTACGACGAGGGCGGACGCATAGAATGCCAAGCGATATGATTACTGCTGTAAACACAGCCCATCCAATTAAGGTTGTACGAGGCCCGAAGCGCTTCAACAGAACGGAAAAGATTGGAGAGAGACCGGCAGCCGCGATATTAGGGGCCCCGAAACTGGCATCATAAGTTAGCTCGTTGCCTCGTTCGCCACCAGGATGAGGTTCCGAGTATCATACAAGATGCCGTTGGCAATACCACGTCGATTGAGAAACCACTCATCCACGAAGCTTAAGCAAGGTGCGAAGAGAAGGCCACTCGAGAACCCATACATGAGCCCTTGTGTCATGATAACCTGCACTGCCTAGGACAAAATGTTAACATTCTCAATTGAAGATGACGATTATTCGTGAGCTGCTTACAGAAATAGAGAAGGCAGCACCGATTGAGGATGCTACCACTAGAAGCATGCCGCTCCACATCATGTAGACTCTATAGTGAGGGTAGGCAGTGATGATCTTGAGCAGAAAGGGCGGCAGGGTTTGCAACAGGCCCTTGTAGAACTTAGTTTGGTGGTGCGAGTGCGCGGTCAGGGTACTCACCACCACTAACAGGCCGGTAGAAGCGACCAATTGATTCCCTTCTAGAGGAGGAGTCTTGAAATAGTATTCTCGAAACACGCCCTGGGTGGCCCCGAAGCCTACAACAATGATTGTCAACTTCAGTGATGGCTTGCGACAAGGCAAACCTCAGCTCGACTCACCCCAAGTTGCCATTGCAATGACGGAAACGGCAATGAGACTGGTCCAAGCGGCTCTGCCACTGTCTCGAGGGGGCAGATTCTCATCGCCGTCATGCTGCTCTTCGCTTGCAGAGGGGGGACTAGGCACCAACACCGGCCCCGTGCTCACCGACTTCTCATTAGGCGGCTGCTGCTGCCGTTCTGGCCAACTCGAGGCCATTGTGGTGTAAAGTCTGAAAGGTAAGTGGCAAAGGAAAGAGGAATGGCATAGACGCAAGCACGGAAACTGTCTCCCTCGATTGCTGTAAGTGCTAGTATGTTCGAAAACTGAGTGCTCCGGTGTGAAAGAGGGTATGTATGAAGTGTCGGAATTGAAACACCAACGTCATTTGTGCTTACACGTATACGTAAGCTTGGCTGATAGGCTTCCTGACTTGGCAAACATAGACGAAAGATCAATCCAACATACCATGGGTCTTGTACCCTGTAATGCTTAGCCGAAGACACTAAGTCTACCGCTAAGCCCGGCGCGAACCGAGACGTTGACCCATCGCACGCCTCCCGGGAGACGACTAGACAAGAACGGATGGGAAAGTATTCGCATGTACTGCTCACACCGGTACTCGGTGCGGTCTCTCGCAAGTGCGGCTCTCGGTCGCGAGCCGTTGTTCACGAAATTTGAGCGACGAGAACCTTTTGGATCATAATCCTTGTCGTTTGTGCATCATTTACGATTAGGTCGGCGTCTATTCGTTGGCAAAAGTGCCAAGTAAGATCTTCTTTGGGGCCCCTGCATCTCGTTGTGCCTCATCTGCTCGTCCCGTCGCTCCGACGCGGCATGCCTTATCATGAATGACTTGGCAAGGATTCGCGTCTGCTGCAGAGTACCGGCTGAAGCCGTACGCCGCAATCATCACTGGGAGTCTGAGCACATGTCTGCCTTCGGGAATGCAGTAAGACCGGACCGTTTTTAAACAGCTAAAAGCCTAAGAGCATTTGAGATTGTGAAATGTGATGCTGGGGGAGTTGACAGCCCCGACCGGAAGCTTTCGCAGCCAATCATTCAACCTAATGGCCTTGGCCCGAGCACTATTATGCACCTAGCACATGATGTGTCCGGGTGGATATGCAGCTCGACTAACTACATTGATCCTTCAAAATCGTCGATGGGTTGTCAACCTTGCACCCACTGGCGATCGCGCTGTGATTTCAACTTTCGACGCCTAGGTACTAGGTAGAGAGACGGGGGTACGTGGGGGGTTGATTAGTGACCCGTCTGTCTAGTCGCTCGTCGATCGTTAGACTAATAGAGGTGATTTGAGACCTTCTCGATGTAGCCCCCTACACTTAGGCAGCGGCCATGATCGATACGATACGAATGGACGAAGAGGGAAGGACGGTACGCAAGGAGGCTCATTTCGGACGAAAGACCCATTGCTTAATGATGATGTAGTTGGGTAGTGACGGCTTAAACACCAACATCCCGGTGAGGTCAAAAGCGCGCCTCAAAGCCTTAGCCCCAGAGAAATTCGAGGCCAACTTCTCCATGTAACGTTACGGGACGAGGATGTGCTGACAGTATTACCACAGTGGTTCAATGTTGCCAGCGTAAGACGAGTAAGTTCCTCGTGCTGGCGATCCACGCGCGTTAATCACATATGCCATTTCTCGTCTTGCAGATATATATTGATGAGTCGGCGAGTGTTTCATCCATTTCTATTCGAGATGGAATCTAGAAATCTATATTTTCGAACCAGTGTCTTATTATTATTCTTTGGTCTAAGTCTATTACTGCGAAATGTTCGGGAATACTTGAAGACTCAGTCATCACAGATACTGGAAACATGATTGGTTTTAAACGTACCTATATGTTAATTTGTTTATAAGATTAAGAAACCCTGCTCATGGTTGGTACTGGATCCGAGGCGAATATTGCTAAAGATTGGTCACCTGTCGTTTGTTATCCTATTGTAGTAAATATATCCGTTCTACCGAGTAGTAAACCTGGGCCTAGCGATTCACTGAAGGAGCGTTTTGTAGAAGACCGCTCCCAACCTCGAAGGCTGAAAATGGCTTCTGGCACTCGAATGTCGTAATTTCTCTTGAATTTAAGGCACGACCAAGACAGGAATCGGGAATGTGTTGTCATCAGCTTCCCACCCGCTGTAGCCTTCTGTCAGGCCCATCCCAGTACACTCGTTACAACGATTGTCACACCATGCCTATGAAACAATATGGTCTTACACAAGCATGACTAAGTTTGCCAAGGATATGCCAGTATAAAGGGTCTTCCACTCACTATATAGATAGTCGGGATATTCCCATAGCCACTCGTTCTTCATACTCATCAATACATCCCATTGACCCCCTACCTGATAATCGCTGCCCAACAGTTATGAGCCCAGTTGTCTTTCTGACCACTGGATACTCTGAATAAGCATCACACAGTCAACTACCTCTTTGTCTATTAGCAGCCCAGGCAGGCACCTGGTCAATCCACGGGTATCACAACCGACCTATTAGTCTATCGGACAAGATGTCTACCGTACAGACTACTATTCGCCTTAAAAGCCAATCTGACTGGCCAGACTGGTATACCTTCATCAGGATGAATGCCAAATCTAACGGGATATGGCAGTTCTGCAACCCTGACTCTGATGAGGCCTTGACTGCGCCTATCAGACCACAACTGCCAGTCGACCCAAATAGCGACCAAGTTACTCTGTTTGACGCCAACAGCAGAGTATATATCGAGGAGCTTAGGCAGTACGAGCGAAGAACCCAGGCGCTTCAGAAAACCATGAGAGACATCACCACCACTATCGAGCCAACCATGCTCTCCTGGCTAGTGGATGCTGATACTCCAAGAGAAGCCCTGCGAAGCCTGAAGGACAGGTATCAACGATCTCCTCAAGCGGAGAAAAGACTTACCTACAAGACCTATAGAGATCATCTCATGAGGATCAAGAGATCAGGCACCCAAGAGTGGATTCAATCTTGTGAGACCAATCTCTCCAAAGCAGTCAGATTGGGCTGTGAAGAGATGAGTGTACCTCATCAACAAACCACCCTTCTCAACGCATTGAAAGGGGTATATCCAGACTTCGTCGCTCCCATGGCTAGGGATACAACCAGGGAAGAAATTGACGACGTTGATCCATCAGAACGGCTGACAGGCAAGAAAATCCTTCAGCATTTGAGAACCTGGCTAGAGGCTGGGCATGGAGATGAAGACTCCAAATCAGGCGGTGCATATGCCACTTGGCAACAGCGTGAAGAAGGCCAATCTCCACGGGTTTCAGCCAAGGGCAACACCAACAACGCTTCTTTTGGCCGAAAACCAAAGGATAAGGACAACAGGCCGAAACCCTTTTGTCTATTAGATGGGAAGAAGCACTTTTATCAGGAATGCTTCTATTTGAACCCATACATTCGTCCATCCGGCTGGACTGGAGACACAGCGAAGATCCAGATGGCTCAAGATTTCCTTGCCAACAACCCTAGGCTAAAGGAAAAGATAGAGCAAAGCAGGACCAAGAGCGTCTCTCCAGACCAATTGGCAGAACAGAAGGCCAGCAAGGCCAACTACATACGGGCATCCAGTCCATCAGACTCAGATACTGACTGGTCGGATACCAGCTCAGTGCCAGAAGAACCAAATGGCAGCTGTCAGCACATCGCTCAAGCCAGCGATAACAAACACGCTGTACTTGTTGACAGCGGGGCATCAGATACCCTCACATGGGACAAATCTCGCTTTGCAGATCTAAACCCTGTCAAGAAGACCTTTGACACCCCAAATGGGCCTATTATTGCAACCGCAAAAGGGATCATGATAGTCAATGCAGTAGATGCAATGGGCCAACCTCATCAATTGCGAATCAACAGCGCATATTTAGTACCAGACGCTCCAACTACCCTGATCAGTACCATCAGATTAGAGGAGCAAGGACTTTGGTTCTCGGCAAGGCAATGATGCCTTGAAGACAATCAGGGCAGTCCTCAATTTCAAATCTGGATACTAGAATCACAGTATCATCTCGAGCCTCCTGACGGCCAAGGGGCAGTCTATTTCTCATCCTCTTCTCAGCCTCGAGCAACCAGCAAGGAGAACGCCAAACTGTGGCACGAACGACTCAGCCACGCAAATAAGGCGGCTCTTCAACACCTATCCAAGGCATCCTCAGATGCAGGAATAGAGGGTCTTCTGATAGAGGACTGCGAGACATGTAGACAGGCCAAAGCAATGAGGAGCATCTCAAGACGTCAACCAATTTACAAAACCACTTACCCATTCGAGAGGATCAACATTGACTTCTTTCTGATGGAGGAAGCGTACAATGGGGCGAAAGTCAGTATTATCGCCACATGCCCATACACCAAGCTGAAGCTCCAGAGAGCACTTCCACATCGACGACTTCTTGGCCTCCGATTTATCAAGCAACTAGTCAAGTTTCTCTCAGTGCAATACGATATTGTTGTACGATTTTTACGGCTTGATGGGGATGTGTCTCTACAGACCAACATAGAGGACTACACCTCCGAGGAAGGGATCATTCTGGAGAGAACAGCACCATACACATCAGCACAAAACGGCCAAGCCGAGAGAGCTGGGGGAGTTATATTTGCAGCAGCAAGAGCTCTCTGTATACAGTCAAACTTTCCCCCACAACTCTGGCCAGAGACAACAGCGGCAGCCGTCTATCTTGGCAACCGAACTCCAAGAAGGAAGATCAACTGGATGACACCAGAAGGAAAGACGAATGCGTGGCTGAATGCCAACAAGGGTACAAAGCGCCCAGAACTATCATCGCTTAGCCATCTCAAGAGATATGGTTGCAGAGCCTATCCTCTGACCAAAAACTACATGGCTGGCCGCCAAAAGTCAGCCAAGATGGCACCTAGAGCTCATATTGGCTATCTCTGTGGATATGATAGCTCGAACATCTATCGCATATGGGTCCCTACTCTGAATCAGGTTTTCAGATCCAGAGACGTGTCATTTGACGAATCAGTTGTCTACAATCCTTCAGAAGTCCAGCAACTTGATGCCGTACAGATAAGAGAGCAGACAGGGCATCTAGACCTGTTGGAACTCCATGACGATATTGATCACGATATCGAATCCATTCTAGAGGATTTCGCGGCCCCAGATACCTATGCAACTCATCCGTCAGACCGCCAAAGTTCTATTTTCGCTCCAGATAATAGTCTTCCAACTCTACCTTGTCTTAGGGAAGAAGTGACGCTAGGTAACCGCCTATCCAGCCAGCCTGGCAGTTCTGTAAGAGGAACAGAAACCAGCCTCGATATCTCTTCGGCTGGGGGGGTGATGTCTAGTAGCCCTCCACTTCCATCTTCATCGTCAGCCATTACTTCAGACGAAGTAATCCATGACACCATCTATGTCAACACAGAAGAGACAGTGTCTCAACAAGAAGAAAATCAACCCTTACATAGGGACCATCAGATCGAACCTGGGTGGGTGGAAGGCTCCCCTCGACCAGAAGATTCATCACCAACCCAATCAGCGACTTCACCAACTCCAACGAGTGGAGATGGTAGCAATACTTCCAACAATAACACTTTGGAAGGTGTAGGTCAACAGCCCCTCAGCAACGTTATCAAAAGACGCCAGAAATACGACAAAAGTGAAGGGGTTGACTCTTCCAACATCCTGAAATCCCCGAGGCGACGGAAACCAAGTAAAGAGGCAGCAGGCTCTGAATCGAGAGGTCTCTATCAGAAGCAGTATATCGCCTACATATCCGCCAACACAAGCGCACTCCATAGCGCAACGATGGATGCGACAAGAAAGATGCACAAGAGAGATCTTCCTCCAACTCCCAGAAACTGGAGAGAGGCTCAAAAGCACCCCTTCTTCAAGGAATGGAAAGCTGCTTGTGAATCTGAGCTAAAACACCATTGGGATATCGCCACATGGAAGAGAGTTCAGATCTGCAACGTCGACAAGGAAAAACACTTTATTATCCCCTTATTATGGGTGTTCACTTATAAGTTCGACAAGCACGGCTATCTTCACAAGTTCAAAGCAAGGATTTGTGTCCAAGGCAATCTTCAACCGCCGAACGATCTCGACACTTCAGCATCAACTCTTGCTGCCAGAACCTTCAGAACCATGATGGCCCTTGGAGCCAGGTTTGGACTTCGTTTCTGGCAAAAAGATGCAGTCAATGCGTTCACAAACGCCTGGCTAGATGAGGTGGTGTATGTCAGACACCCACCTGGCTTTGAGGAATATGAGAGTTGTCTTTTGCTTCTCAGAGCTTTATATGGCCTCAGGAGGTCGCCTCTCCTCTGGCAACGTCACATTACCAAAACTATGAAGCAAATAGGCTTTCGCCAACTTGAGGAAGACGAGTGTGTCTTCATGAGAGATGGGATCATCGTCTTTATATTTGTAGACGATATAGTGATCGCTTTCCTCCCTGACCTGCAGGAAGAGGCCAAAAAGATCACTGATGATCTTCACAACCATTACCAACTCAGAGATATGGGCGATCTCCGATGGTTTCTTGGCATCAGAATTATCAGAGACATCAATGCCAAAAAGATATGGCTATCCCTCGATAACTACATTGACTCTCTTGAGACCAAGTATAAGGTCCAAAACAACAAAGGATGGCCAATGACTCCAATGGCACTTGATCAACTTGTCAAATACGATGGTCAAGCGTCAAAACAGACAATCATCGAATATCAGAGCAAGGTTGGATCTCTCAACTATGCAGCTGTTATTGCCAGACCCGATATATCACATACAACATCAAGACTCTCTGAATATCTTCAGAATCCTGGTCCATCGCACATGGAAGCGGCAGACAGATGTCTTGCCTACCTTGCCCGAACCAAGGGATTAGCAATTGAATACGATGGGTCAGCAGACGGAAGACTGTGCTGTTCTTCCGACGCAGCATTTGCTGATGACCTCAATACACGACGAAGCAGTCAGGGGTATATCACCATGCTCTTTGGTGGTCCTATTGAATGGAGAGCCACAAAGCAGACCTGTGTAGTTACCTCATCAACGGAAGCAGAACTAGTTGCTCTCACTCAAGCCACAAGAGAGTATATGGCAACCATAAGGTTAATGGAGAATCTCCAGATTCAACCAGACGGTTTCCCTACTATTTACTGCGACAACAGTCAAACTCTTCGTCTTCTGACAGATGAAAAGCCCCACAGAACCTCCAGGCTGAAACATATCGATATACAGAATTTGTGGGCTCGCCAAGTCTGTCGGAAAGGAGACATCACTTTCAAGTGGATGGATACCAATAGCACTATCGCTGATGGTCTAACCAAACCACTGAACGCACAAAAACACCGAGAATTCGTTCGTCAACTTCGTCTTGTTAACATCACACACCTGCTGGGCCAGGAAGAAGTGTGAATAGCTTCAAGCAAAGACTTGAACCTAGGGGGGTGTGTCAGGCCCATCCCAGTACACTCGTTACAACGATTGTCACACCATGCCTATGAAACAATATGGTCTTACACAAGCATGACTAAGTTTGCCAAGGATATGCCAGTATAAAGGGTCTTCCACTCACTATATAGATAGTCGGGATATTCCCATAGCCACTCGTTCTTCATACTCATCAATACATCCCATTGACCCCCTACCTGATAATCGCTGCCCAACACCTTCAAACTTGCAAAAGGGATCTAATTACAGCGATCCTCATCCTTGAACATCCTGCTGTTTTTGGACTCCGGTACAGTCCGACTGGTGATTGAGCTGTCCTATACTTTAATGTGATGTTAATGAAAGATAGCCTTCTTGGACTTTGTCTTTATGTGGCAAAAGGCTGATAAAGTGGACGAATCATCACTACGCACCGATGCGACAAGGCTGTTCCATTCGTAGGCCATGTCATGGCTCTAGAGCTAAAGGTAATGCTAGATAATATTCCTATTGGTTCATGGCTTCGCCTAGCTATAGGCTGAAGTTGTGACTCACTTGGGCCAATGATTCCCGGCCAAGGCAAAACCCCGCCCATAAAGTCAAATTTGAGCTTCAAAAGTCTGCTTTTAACACATTTCTCTTTCTCCTCACCAATTGGCAACTCAAGTATAATCAACCTCCGGCCTTAGCCAAGACTCGCTCAATCGTCAGCATGTGGCTCATAGACACAACAACACTTAAACTTCATGAACGCTCAGAGGGTGCAAAATACACCATCCTCTCTCATACGTGGGATCAGCAGGAAGTGTCGCATAAAGACATGAGCAACCTCGCCGTTGATTCCACTCAGAAAGGGTTTGCAAAGATCGCCAAGACGTGCGAAATTGCCAAGTATCTGGCATAGATTGGGCCTGGGTCGATACATGTTGCATCGACAAGAGCAGCAGTGCCGAGCTAACCGGATCAATCAATTCCATGTGGCGGTGGTATCAAGAAGCTGAGATTTGCTACGTCTATCTCTCCGATTTTGTAATGCCACAAGCGGTCAATGGTCAATTATCAGAAGAGGAGGCTCCTGTCGTGGACTTCGAGGACTGCCGCTGGTTTACTCGGGGATGGACCTTACAGGAGCTTCTCGCGCCCAATCAGGTAGTCTTCCTCGACAAGTACTGGACAGTCTGCGGCACAAAGGAGTCTTGACGCAAGCAGATATCCGAGATTACATGTATCAGCTCACATGGCCTCGAAGATTCTAGCCGCTTGTTGTTGTTGTTGTTGTTGTTGTTCTATTTAACGCCATGGCGGCAAGGGCGCAGCCGCCCTTGCGGCAGACCTCCCGGAGGGTATGTGGCGTGAAGGGTCGCAGGCTCTAGCTAAATACTATATAGTACACGCCGTATCCTGACGTCCTCCAAGTCTTGCTCGTGAGCTACTATGTGTTCTATCCATCCCTAGTTCCCACTGGTGCCCTAGTTCCGTTATAACTATCTGGTTTCTTATTAGAGGTAGTTTGTCGTTTGGAGGATAGGTTATGACCTATCTCCTAGTACCGCGGGCAGATCTTCTGGAAGAAGTCTGTCACGCAGAGGAAGGCCTGGAAGCCTTCAGAGTCAGTGATTAGCCCCTTGAAGTAGCGATCGAGGGACCCTATAGGTCCTACGGGCTCCTGGCGGCTGTAGGGGTAGAGGGTGGGCCACTGTTGCCTCCTCAGTAGGGTCTTTCGGCAGTAGACTAGATGGTCTGCCTCCTTAACCCATCCACAGGAGCAGGTGAGTAGTGCTTCTGTGTGGTTAAAGCGTTGGTGATATTGTTTAAAGTCCCCGTGGCCTGACCGTGCCGCGAGAAGGTGATGAAAGGCAGCCCTAGGGAGGCCAAGTTCAGGAGGGCAAGCAAGGGTAGCCTTGAGCCCTAGTTGGGTATAGCGGGGAGTTGCCTCTTGTTTCCACCATCGTCTATATTGGCGTCTTGGCCGCTCTTTAGCAAGCCACTTGATACCTGATAGAGTAGCTAGTTGGCCCCTAAGGACTGGTAGAGTTGTTCCCTCCTTAGCTAGGCTGTCTGCTTCTTCGTTTCCTTTAATACCTTGGTGCCCAGGAGACCAATGGGTTTGTATATCGTGTATCCTAGCTACCTCCTGGATCTCAAGGAAGGCCGCTTGTGAGGAGGAGTCTGGGACCTTACCGCGAATCCTGAATAACGCTGGTATTGTCGATGCATATGTGTATAGGCTGGCCTTGGGAGGTCTGAAGGGCCCGTCGGAGCCCAGCCCTCGCCCCCTCCGCCTCACCATCAAACACTTCTGCTAAGCCGAGACGGCCGCAGCCCTGGGCTATACGTTTATTGTTGCGATAGATAACAAAGCCGTACCCTGTAGCTCCGTCAGGAGCTTTGGAGCCGTCTGAGTATACGACTGTATGCTGACCTGGCACAGTCTTGAGCCAGGCCTGGAAGATCCTAGCTGCTACATCCTTCGTCTGTGTAACTATAAGGTAATAAGACCCTGGGAGGTATTGCGGCTGTAGGAGTGCTGGCCTTGGACACTTAGGTAACAGGCCAGCTGTTCTTTGGAGCCTGGTCTGTTGCCGCCCTGGCTGTAGCAGCCTTGGGACCAAGGGATGCTGTTGGTCAACCTTCTGCAGGCGTATAGCGAAGCGTAGTCGCGCTGCTTCGAGGGCTATCTCTGCTGTAGGAAGGCCAGCGTCTCGGATGAGGATGCTGGTCGGTGTGGTTCTCCAGACAGGCAGGATAGCCCTTGCTGCTGCTGTAATAACTTTGCTAACTCTACGGGCCAGGCCCTTCTGTCCTGTACGTAGTACCAACTGTAACTATCTGTAAAGCAGTACTACTGCTAGTATTGGTGCCGCTGTTTAGGGCTGGTTTGGTTAGGCCCGCATACCAGGTCTCAACTCCATATAGGGCTGTTGGAAGGACACAGGCAATAACCGCTTTTCGTACTGCGGCTGCTGGGAGCCCCCCTTTAGTATTTGTTAGGTGCCGAAGGAACTGGGCTACCTTCTTTGCTGCCGCCACCTTAGTTTCGACATGGTGACGGAAGGTGAGTCTCTTGTCAAACCAGACTCCTAGCCATCGTACAGGCCTAGCTGAGGCCTTGATAGTTAGGCCCCTCGCTTGTATTGCATACCAATTGCCAGCAGAATATCCTGGGCCGCGAAGAGACATACCACTCGAGAGGAGGACCGCGCCTACAGCTTGTTCGACATCTTTGACGTGAATTTACCTCTCATCTACGGCGAGGGATCCAAGGCATTCCATCGTCTTCAAGAAGCAATATTACAAGATTGCACTGATCATTCCATATTTGCTTGGAATGATGAAGTGGAGAAACTCGATGACATCTTCGGACAACGGTATCGAGGTCTGCTTGATAGCTCGCCTTCCGACTTTTGGGACTGTGTTGATACTCTCCCTGTATCGGAGCTGTGAGATGACCCCGGCGACATTCAAATGACGAACAAGGGAGTCAGGTTGCGCATTGATGGCTTGAAACTCTATTATGAGCGTGAAACGCCTCTATAGAGGGTCCTCGTGCCAGGCCCGGATCAAACTCAACTCCTCAGCAGCAACTCTGGAACTAGAGGAGGTCGATCCACGCACATGATAGATTTGCGACACAAATTCAGTTGCCCACATCTTGGAGATCGCCGTGTTTACCTGCAAGTCTTTCGAACATCCTATTACTTTGCAAGGCGCCCGCGAAGGGTCCTACCTACAAGTTACCCGGATCCGGCACATTGTCACGAAAGATTCGAGTATCACATTCCCAGAACGATTTCTATAATACAGTCCGGCACAATCCTGTTCCGATTGGAGCATCACTTCACATTAATATACGAAACCTTGCAGCCACAACTCTGGGCACTCGAAATCATCGGTACTTCGGCACCGCGGGTGTGGAACCGAATACATCAGTCAATCCTCATCACTGGTCAACTCGCATCTACCACAGTCGTTACTTTCCGGCCCATACCGAATAAAGATTTAGATGGCTTGATTCCGAATCAGTTCGCATCACAAGATACTTGGGAATATCTGTATTTCAACGTCGCAATGGGACTTGTGCAGAATGGGCATGGAAAAGAGCTGCAACCCTGGGTGAACATTCCCAACTACCGAAAGCCCGGCTACGAAAATGTCACCGCGATATCAGCATCATTAGTCGACGCCATGAGAAAGCTATCCGACACGGACTCTCGCCTGCAGAAGGATGACACGCCCTCCGGCTGCGACACCTTCCAGTTCTCGGCGGGTCCCATGACACTTACACCTATGTCGATGAGAGCAGTTAATCAACCGAGTCTCATTTCGCAGAAGAGATCATTCGTCGTCGCGGAAAGCGCAGCGCGATCTGTGCAGGTCAAGGCGAAGACAAAATCGTATTTTGACCCAGACGGGATGATTGAGCATGAAGTCACCATCTCCATTACACCGCCTGCCTCATCTCCTGAAAGCCTTCGGCCCTTGGGATACTACCCATTGGGAGCGTGAATCAAGACTACCTATGTAGGACTCAACTACGAGCTTGGCTGAAACGGAAGTGTGTGTCAATTGAAGGTTGCCGGCATAGGGGCAAATTGTTTCCCGAAGACTAAGAACTGAACACTACCCTACCTCCAGACAGCGAGGGAACTCTCTGCTTATGAATACAGCTTGAGTTGTTAAAACTCGTGAAATTCTTTGTTCACGGGGGTTGTTGGCTCTCGTTTACCCTATCAAGGGTGCCCTGATATGCTGTTGAGTCTCTGTTCGGGAACGATTCAACGAACCGTTTAGTTGCCAAGTTGGGGTGTTGACGCAGGGTGGAAGCTCTCAGAGGCCAACTGCGGTTAGGGGTAGAATAATGAATTACTGAAATCTGCTCCTCCCTCGACGTGTACTCCCTGCGCTGTATATATATCTGAGCTGCTCCTTTGTTGCTTGGACTCCTTACTACCTCTAACTAGCCCCTATCCGGGAGGGCTCTGACACAAAGCCTGGGGGGCTCATGAAGTATTCTATCAACTATTTCTCAAGATCATCAGGGATCAATTGTTCATGCTTTTGAAAAGATGGGCATGGTTGCTTACTGCGACGTGACTGAAGAATTTCAATACTACCCTATCCAGGTCACTGTCTTGTTTGATAGATGATCTATGCTGTAGAAGGGCCAGGGCGCCTCGAGAATGCGCGTGGCAAGTAGCTTCGGTATCCACAAGCCTGCTCTGTGGCTGCGCACCAATAGCCTGATAAAGTTGGAATCAGACCTGTTCTCACCGTATCATATATGTGGAGGAGACGTGGCTTACCTCGAACAGACCAAGGATGAACAGAGCGGCCACCACAGAGTCGTCTTGACCCACATTGGGATTCTTGAGGGCGTCGTTGAGTCCCATAATTGCCCTGCCATAGTGGCTTCTGGCTTGTACCATGAGTCCGGATTGAGTTAGTTGCCGTGATGAGCTGGCAAGTGCAGTAGCTTTTAGAGCGTCGAGAAAGCAATCAGCAGGGGTCGTGGACGAGATGGCTGGCAAAATGCTGAAGAAGGTAATACCGGAATCTTCGGAATAGTCTCGATAAAAGTGGTTTAGTATCACTGTTCCCTGATCGACTTGAATTTGGCGGGGAATTTTTGATTCCGTCGCCCGCTGCTGTCTTTCTTTCAGCTTTTTCGTGACTCTTGTGTGAACCAGCTTAGCGATATGGAAGTTTTCTTCTCGATGGAATGTCTGCCAGGTGTCTTGGTATCCCTGACATGTTCGCTTGCTTGCTTTGCATTTCTTGCAGCTTGGCTTTTCTTCATCGCACTGAACATATCACATCAGTCACTCACTCTTTTGTCGTAGGGGTTGCCAACATCATTCTGAGCTTTCGCATTCCCACGTACCTTGACTTTCCTCTCTTTACAAGTAAAGCACCAACCCGAAGGCCTTCCGATGTTTCCCATGCCAACTAGCGGACGAGTTGAACTGAGATGTTAAGATGAATTGGTCGATCAAAGTGTCTTGTGACAAGATTTGTTGATGATCGACCAGGAGGTACCATAATGTGTAGAAACTTAGCATCAAGGAGAGCCTCCTGGCTCTATTCAGGACGTGTAGGATCGCTTGTGTCATGCAGAGGCTAAACCATTTGCGGCCCGCCATCCGATGCGAACAGATGCACGAGTTCCCAACCTTAAAGCTAAAGCTTAAGTCTGATTCGGCACTTTTACCCAGCTTGTTGCACTAAACCAAAATATCCCACCGGCTGGTTCACCAATTCTTGACATATGTTTTACCCAATCTGGTACTAAAAATGTTCAAGTGAAGAGTTCCGATGACTCTCGATAACATGCACGGAGAGTTGAGTTATCTCTAGCAAGTCCGGTCGTAGAGACATGAACCTAATCAAACTGGCTCGGAAAAACCCGCATACCAAGCCCGGAGCTGGCATAAGCCTCAGCGTCAACATCATAGGGCAGAACTTAGCTCCCTGCACGGACAGATGAGCAAGACTGCGTAGACATCAATCATAGTTTAACGAACTTGTGACAATCAAAGCAAGAAGTTGGGACCGGAATACATTGTTCCAGCGACAGTATTGTTTATGCTGTATTATTCTCCGCCACGGGTACAAAACCACCTGCAGCTAAACAATCGAGCCATCATCTTCGCCGAGAGTCCGAAGCGGCCGATCCCCCGAAACAGCGTCAGCTTATTTACGAGAACTCGTAGTAGAGGTGATCCCATGGTCCGCCATTGTCGACCTTGATCTGAATAAGCTGCTTGTTGATAGTAAAGTCCGCAATCGCGCCTCTAATAGCCGAAGAGAAGACTGTTGTTCCGAGTCTCTCCCAACACGCCTTGCGGTTCGCATTGGTCTCTGTGCTGGAAATCGTAAAGGATGCCGAGGACCTTAGGCCCATAGTGGTACGACAGTCCCCGAGCGCTTTGTTCATGTCGTCGTTCTCGATCTGGTATCCCAAGACCTCCTTCAACTCCGACGGCTGAAGGCCAGTCATCTTCCAGCACTCCTTGAGAACCTGTCGCATCTTGAGGCGGGGCGTAGTGGTGTCGAATCCGTTCATCGCCTTGATGACAGTCAAGCGCTTGGCGACCTTGTTCACAAGCAGGGTGTCAACAGGAGAGGTGCTGCCATCCTCATCCCTAGCAGTGTAGCCATCTGCGTAGACGGAGAAAGCCCATCGGTTGCCAGTCTCGTCAGCTTCGGCATCAACAGCATAGGCACGGTTTCCCTGCATAAGAATTAGTGAATCGGCTCCAAGGAATCATTTGGCTCATGACGTACGGCGAATGGTCGGACAAGTTGGCCAGAGATCTATCTCACAGGGTTAGCTCAAACCGGAATGGCCTAACGGGGGTAGTTTCAGGGCAAAATACCAGTGTTAAAACAGAGCCAAGCGCCAAAAGAATGGCGGGGAAGTGAGCTGAAAGCATTTCGAATAGCGAGTGAATATTAATTGGACAAATGAGTGTCGATGCACGATGGCAGGCTGTGTGTAGGCAGACTGAGGAGTTGATGTCTTGATACCTCAGAAGATGGCTTCAATGTTTGACGACAAGGTATATATCTTCAGTCTCTGGACTTGAACATCGCAGTGAGTTGTCGGATACACTGAAACCTTAGTCTTCTCTTCTCTAAGCGAATAGGAGAATACAGTGGACAGGTCTTGGTTGACGAAAATTGATGAGCTTGAGTTGGTTATGCATACAAAATGACGGTGGGTTGACAACTTGGGACTCCTTCCCTGAATCGCTTGATGTGAGTTATCACTTTGAACTCAATATGACGATCCATTTTGGTCTTGTATCGACTCTCATCAACTGCTTTTAGTTGCGAAAGAAAAAGCGCTTTGGGTTGTTGTGGATCTTAGCAGGTGGGACAGCGATTGCGCCGAGTCAGTCAAGTTCACTATATTTGGCACGATGTTATAGATCCTTGGCATGCAAGAGACGGGATGAACATTTCACAGCTACCTTGTAAACCGAGAAACTCTATTTATATGAACTATCATGTTTAATTAACTGGCCCAGTTGCAGATTCAACGAGTCAACTTTTGTCAAGCATTGTTCGGACACTCCGATCTCGAAATGTTTTCTTGCATGTAATGATCAAGGAATAGATAACTCCTCTTTTGGGGTAAGTTTGAACTGGCTATGTGGTGGTTGAACTAGCTATATCACCTAGCTTTCTTCCCTCGATTTGGGATTGTGATTACCAAGTTCGTTCGGCTTCATTCTTTCTTTTATACACCCTAGCCACCATGCGTCACTCGTTGTTTTCATCCTTGCTCGGCCTAGCCACGATCGCGGCTGGTGCAGTACTTTCCCCAAGAGAAAAGGATGTTTCCTTGAATAATCAGTGGAAGAACCATAATGAAATCGCGGCCTTCCAGCAGCAAATGGCAGACGGCACGCCGGGCGACATCGAACTTCGTTTCAAGCCTTGGCTGAACGATGGTAGCGGATGCTTTCCTTACGCAGCTGTTGATAAGGACGGCTTCCACGGGTAAGATTATTCACAGTTCATCAGATGTTTCTCATAGGCTTCGGGCTCATAACTCCTCCTAGGTGCGGTCTCAAACCTACAGGAAAGAGCGGCGGTGATTGTCGAGACTCCTCGAAGGGTTAGGTTTATTCCCGAGTTGGAACCTCGAATGGGCGCCCGGCCGTTCTCTACTCGTGGTATCTTCCCAAGATCCAGACCAAGACCGAGAACCACAGGCATTGGTATCTCATCATTGTGGTTTGGTTGCATACCGAGACATGCAACGCTGCTGCTGGCGATTACGACATTGCAGGCATCAGCTACTCAACCGGTACGGAGACGTACGACAAAAGCCTCACCTCGTCCACGATGTTTGCCTCCGGAGATAGCGGGACGGGTGCTACCAACACGCACGCCATCGTGGGCTACGACGGCCAGGTCAACGTCTTCCCCTCAGCGAACAATGCTCAGTACGGACTCAGCCCGCCTTTGATTAGCTGGGACAAGTTGTCGCCAGCGGCCACGTCTCAGTTCAATGCCTTCCGCTATGAACATGCCCGCTGCCCCTTCACCGACGCCAACATCCAAGCCTCTCTCGACGCAGCATACAACGCGGACTTTTACGCTAATCTTCCTGCCGAGCCTGACTCGAACTGCGGCGCGACTCCCACCATACCTTCAACACCAGATGCTTCTTCGACGGGGGTTTCAAGCGACCCGAACACTGACCCTGTTGAGGAGGGACCAGAGATTCCTCTGTCTTCCTTCCCGGCGGATCCTACCTACACACCTACCCCTGCCAAGAGGCTGTAAGACTACGAGCGTAGATGTGATGAATTGTATTATCCGGTGCAGACAGAAGTAAAAATAATCTTGGTTGGCTGCAAATAATTTACAGGCTGGACTACCTTACAATGATGAACTTCTCTTACAGCTGCCTACCAATGTTTACGCATGATTGCATGTACTTTTCGGCAGGCCAAATATCTCTGAGGATCAGTCTCAAGCCACCTTCCCAGAGATAGTTGGCATCCGCACACCCATGCACACGTCATTTCCATTTCTATTGACTGGCGAGGCATGATCCCCTCTGATTTGGCCTAATATTGGTTGAAACAGTTATAAAAACGATTATGGAAATGACTTAGCGTACCAGAATTGACTGAGGTTCACAAACACTTGCATTAAGACGCGTCGCGTGACGTGTTGTGGTATCGAGATAGCCCAGAGTGCCTAGGTCCCTTAGTACCGCATTGCGAGCGTGTGGTATTACTCCGTACCATCCGCTAGGACGACGCCTGGAATGAGCGCGAGGACAGTGGAGGGCCTAGGAACGTGCGGACAACCTAAGCTCGGTCCTGGGGGCCATGTAAGGCCCCCGAAAGAATTTTGTTACGATATCAAAATCTTGACATGATGTTCAAAAGTTCACATGATGTTGCTAAATTGTTTATGGAAATTTCCAGCTACTGATGTTAGAGCTACACCTGGCACGGGCCCCTCCATGTTTAGAAATGCAGCGGCAATCGATTATCCTCGTGATCGGAGTTCTACTGAAATTCTTCAAGTTCGTCAGGACAAGGAATGGTCAACCGATGTCGGTTCCTGCGAATTGGGCCGGTTAATTGTCGGAGAAGGTCATGCTGTTCGCCATCCATGACATCAGTGACCTGCTCCTTTAGGCAAGTCTAACAGTTGGAAGCGGTTGTGGGGATTGCTTTGCCGAGAAGCTTGGCAAAGACCTCGCGTTGTTTGGTGCTGATACCTAGACTGACTGCTTGATTATCATCGTAAGCAGTATTGCGCCTTCAACTAAGGTACCAAAGGACGGGCGCCTTAATTAGTAATCTGAGCTCAACGACGTTAAAAGGCGCGTCTGAGTTGCGGGAGTAGTTGTGGAGTTTACCCGGGGAGTATCGGCATTGGCTTGACGCCAATTCCCCAGCCCACCATCCCGTATCGCCGGGCTTAGTTGCGACGGTGCCCCGCACCGCGGTCATGACATAAAAGGGTGCCAGGAGCTGGTGAACTTTGAATGTAGTAACTCATGGAGGACTTTTGAGCTTGTTACCACATTATTTCCAGATCTGCTTTGCTTCGCTTCCGTCTCAGCAAAAGACCTCTCGCCTTCATCATGTCAACCATCAAAGTTGGTGTTGTGGGCTATGGCTTCGCCGCCAAGAGCTTCCACCTGCCCTTCATCACTGCCAATAATGACTACAAAGTGATCTCCATCCTTCAACGCGCAGAGGCTCCCCAGGACCTATCTTCAGCAGCACCTGGCTCCCACTGCAAAGTCGACTTCCCCAATATTAGACATTATCGCACAGAGGAGGAGTTCTTCGCCGATCCTGATACGCAACTCATTGTTGTCGCAACACACACAGACACCCACGCCTCATTTGCCGAGAAGGCCTTGCAAGCTGGTAAACACGGTACGTGCAGACCCAGACTGTTGTCTCAACACACAAAGTTATCTGACTGTCGCACATAGCAATTGCGGATAAGCCATTTGCGAGATCATCCGAGGAAGCAGACCGTGTCATCAACCTTGCAGACAGCAAGGGCCTGATTCTGACTTGTTTCCAAAACCGAAGATGGGTAAGTATTCTGTCATCCATATGCGATGATGTTTTGCTCTTTTCTTGTTTTAGCTACTGAAAGGAACGTAGGATGGCGATTTCCAGACTTTAAGAAAACTCATCAAAGAGGATGCATTGGGTGACATCAAAGAAGCTGAGATTCACTATGACTTCGAGTCACCTAGTTGGCTCTCGGGAATGTCAAAGAAAGAGTACACTCCTGGCGATGGCATGGCCTTTGGCCTTGGTATGTTTTCACTGGACTTTTCGCCAAATCTTTGTGAGTAATATCTGACTGCTTACGTGCAACCTTTTAGGAACCCATAGCATTGATCAGGCCGTTACGCTTTTTGGTCGTCCAAAGTCCGTGACAGGCTTCTTCCGAGCTCAGAGAGGCATTGAAAGCGAGGTTGAGGACTCTTTTACAATCATTCTGCAGTATGGTGGACCTCAGAAAGACCTCCTGGTCACTGTCAAGACCTCGGTCACCACGCCTATGTCGCAGCAATTGAAACACTTCATTCGAGGTACCAAGGGCTCTTGGCTTAAGGTACGTCCACTTCCAAAGATTGCACAGGGTTCTGAAGACACGTTGGGTTTGACTAAACTTCCCTCCAGTTCCAACAAAGAAGCACATGCCCTCAAGAAGAGCAAATTGCAGAGGGGCGCAAACCATTGGAGCCAGGCTTCGGCGAAGAGCCAGCCGAGGTGTATGGTACTTTGACCACGTACGAGGAGTTCAGCAAGGATCAGAAGTTTGATGAGGCGACGAAGAAGTATGTTGGCCGAGTCCCAACCATCGCCGGGCGATGGCTGGGTATCTATGAGAACCTGGCAGATGCCATCAACGGCAAAGCCGAGTTGGAGGTTAAAGCGAGGCAATCTCGTGACGCCATCAGGATCATCGAGCTTGCAAGGGAATCTCACAAATCTGGAGCTACTATCTCATGGAAGTAGAGCCTCTCGCCAGCGGCCTAATCTCTTGATGCCATAGTGTGTTATTTACTCACTGCAACCTTGCGCTTGATTTGAAATGGAAACGAGGTGCTGGTAATCTAAAGGCATTCAATTCCCCAGAAAGAGACTACTAGTATCCTGCAGTGACATTAAAATTCGTGATCAAATTGACGTTCCCTCTTCAGGACTCAAAATTGCCAAATATCAAAATCACTCGCGTCCAGCGATCAAGGGTGTCGAACTTGATAGATGGTCAGCAGTCCCATATCCGGAGGCCGGCCTCCGAGCTTCTCCGCGAAGACCCACGCTTAGGTACATCAGGCTGCATAATGAAGACGGAAATCAATCACTCAGTCACAGCACAGTCATAAGCGGCAGAGTTCAGCTCCGAAGAGCCCGGAAAAAGGTCTCGGGCAATCACGTAACCGAAGCCCTGGAATACCATAGTAGGAAATCGTAAGCACCCTGCAATACCTTTCCCGGTGATCTGGGGTAACACCCCGCATTCGGCGGGGTACACGATCTGTAGTCAGTTGCCTTGTAATGTTACCCTGGGCTACACGCAGGCATGTTATCCACGCGGGCATTGCACTTGGAAAGCGGAAGACAAGTTTTGCCTGCGGGATTTCTGAATAAGTCAAGTCGAAACACTCCGTTTATGTTGAAGTTTGGTGCGTATGCATCCATCACGTCTCAACTCAGTCATGACGGTCTTTGATCTGCTGCTTAGACGACTCAAGATGCCCATCAAACAGCTTTGCCATCTACTGAGCAACTCCTCCCCCCTAAAAGAGTAGCTATATCCCTCGAGGTGGGGGAGTCGTGCAGACTCTAAGGTTATATCTAACCTTACTTGCCTCGAAGGAACATGAATGTCAGATGTCAAGACGTTAGTTCGGAATAATCTCCGACTTAATCAGGATACGAAGACTTGGCATCATTTCAAGAATTCTTCAGACCTTCCATCATGGTTCCTTTATGGAACCAGCCATTATGGCTGATAATCGTTGCCTTCTCAATCTTCGCGTCTCTAGTCTCTTCCAGCAAACAATGCGAATCCTCTCGATACGAACACAAACCTCGGGTCTTCGTCCTTACCGATATGAGCAACGAGCCAGACGACCAAATGAGCCTCGTCCGGTTCCTCACCTACGCCAATGAGCTAGAGATTCGAGGCATCGCGGCAATAACTTCGACCTGGCTCCGAAACCGTACGGATCCCGATACTATCCGAGAGGTCATCGAAGGGTATGGAGAAGTGGTCAGCAAACTCAACAGCAATGTCCCTTCCGACGCCGCATATCCATCAGCCGAGGAGCTTCTGGGCAAGGTATCTAGTGGCCACCCAGTGTATGGTCTTGCATCGCTGGACCAGAACAATTTGAGTGATGCAGCCGTCGCTCTTGTTCAAGCCGCAGACGAATCTAGTGCTGCGGATCCGCTGTGGGTGTCAATTTGGGGCGGAGCGGCTGTTCTGGCTGAAGCTCTGCAACATGTCTCGTCAACGCGTGATGCTGAAGCTGCAGGCAAATTCGTCGAAACTCTCCGGGTATACTCTATTTCGGACCAGGATGACGCTGGGCCTTGGATTCGCGATCGGTTCCCGACCTTGTTCTACATTATCTCCCTCCATGGCTGGAGCGAATACACACAACCGACATGGATCGGTATCTCGGGAGAAGAGTATCGCCACTTTGATAAGGGCGGGCCAAATACGGAAATTGTCTCCAACGCTTGGCTGCAAAAGCACATCCGTATCGGACCTCTGGGCTCCCACTACCTCAACTGGACATTCATAGTCGAAGGCGATACCCCAGCCTTCTTGTCTCTCGTCCAGAATGGACTTGAAGATATCGACAACCCCCAATGGGGTGGATGGGGCGGCCGATATACTACATCGATAGCCGACGGGGGCCACCGATTGTACAGACACCGCGGATTATGTGCGCGGCGAGAATGGGGACGCATTCTCCAGCAAATATGCGACTATTTGGCGATGGAGGGAGGATCTCCAGCACGATTTTGCTGCCCGAATGCAGTGGACCGTCAACGGGAATTTTGGCGGAAATAATCACCAGCCGATCGCTATTGTCAATGGCTCTTGTGGTCCGTCAAGTCTCAACGTTGAGTATCAGTTTGGTGAAAGCCTGGTCTTTGATGCGGCTGAAAGCTGGGATCCAGACTCCGACACCCTGTCATTTGAATGGTTCCATTATCGTGAAGCGAGTGGCAGGGACTTGGAAGGTTTCACTATTCCCCTGATCAGTCAAAATTTGGATATCGCAAACTTGACTGCAGATGGCGGCGTTGTCAGGTTGGAACCACTCAAGAATCAGGTAAGTCTTCGTCTGTGATGAGAACAAAAGCCGAGTTGAATGCTGACCTTGAATACATAGACAATGCATCTCATAAGCTCTATTCGAGACAATGGGGATATGCCCTTGGTGACCTACAGAAGGATCATTCTGCAGCCCTCTTGGTAGACCATCTCAGATTTAGATTAGATTCAGCGCATGCGGCTCCAGCTACTTAGTATCATGTGAGCGTGATTCCGCTCGCTGGGGATTAAATCATTTGACTTGTCAGCCGATACATATAGCTAGATAGTTCTTCAGCTCCCAATACCAAGTATGCTTACCGTTGCCTTCAAAACATCTCATCTTGACCTGCGATTCCCAAGGTACTTGATCAGCGATGAGGTGGTTTTGCTGTGCGGCTCATGACTAAGTGGCCAAGTGCCGGCATTAATAGGCTTAGGAAGTTGAGGCAGTGCTAATTATAGGGCCGAACCGATGAAAGAATAGGGGGCTAAGCCGAACGGTCCCCCACTGACAATCACCTTGGATGCTTCCAAAAAGATCTTGCCAAATACACACCTCTGCACACGCGTTTCCGTACGACGCAATATTACTGCACACATACGGCGACACGCGCTCTACACGCAGGCATTGCCATTCGGCTGAGACCTGATTGATAGTTGTCACCCGATGCCTCCGTTTATGTCGCCATCTGAAAGGACTCTGTGATCTCACGACAAAGGCGCTGCGATGATGAAAGTGAAGCGTGGCCAACGCAAATGAGTCAGTCTAGGTGCTCACAAGCTTGCAGGATTCAGTCGATGAGCATCTCTTACAATTCCGGGGGATTGGAGCTCTAACCTCTGTATTCCAGAACGAAGGGTCAAATGCGACGAGAAGTTGCCTAGCTGCACAAACTGTGAGTGATCCAAGGACGCACCGTCTTTCATCTGCAAAGCATACTGGCCTAACCATAGTAGGTGTCCATGCTGGATTCGAATGTCATCGTTCGTTCCACAGCCACAGCGACACGCTTGATGTGACAGCCCCAAAACACCACGAAGTGCCTATTACCCGAAATCCCAGCCCGCTCAACCCCCTAGCCCTCAACGAACAAGAGGGGAGAGCATACCGCTTTTTTCAAATCATCGGCGCCCCGACTCTTTCGAGCGGTTTCGAATGTGAGTTCTGGGTAAGGCTTGTTCTGCAGCTTGCCAACGCAGACGACGCCATTTTTTACGCAACCGTTGCTCTTGGGCTTCTGCTCGAGGACATGCACAACTGGCCGATCTCATGGCCGGTGCCTCGCAAAGCCCCGTCCACCGAACGGACGGCGAATGCGCTGCAGCAGCTCTTCGTGCCTCTCATAGGGAAGGAGTCGGCGAATATCATCTCACTTGCGTCCGCTGTGGTATTCGCGTGCATTGAGGTAGTTAAGTATTTTGTTGCAATGGTTCACTCGGTACGCCAGATGGAATGATGCTTATCTCTTTGCAGACACTCTGCGGCAACGCCCGCAACCCCATGAAGTTAATCTCTTCCGGGATTGGCATCTTGACGCAGCTTGAAGCTTCCATCTCATCCCCTCCGAAGTTGGAAAGTCTTGCACCATTCGTATCCGTCTTTATACGACTAGACTCGTACATGAAAGAGGTTTGGAACATGAAATCCCCTTTGGTAGGAAAACCTATGATAACTGTGTAGCTTCTCCAAACAGAACACCACACACAACCAGGGCCGCCTGTATTCAGGCATATCAGACCATGCCCATCATCATTCAACAGTCTCAGAGAGGCAAACAGACATCTCGAAACTCTGGAAAATCTCTGTCTGTTCGTGGCTGAGCAACAAGGGGAACCACGGGACGCCCAGAACAAAATGCCGACTCGGACTTCCTGCCAGAGCATGTATGAGGAATGGCTAGAGGCTTTCAACGCCAGCTCCATCTGTACAGATGATGAGAAGTCTCATGCACTGCTTCATATTCGGCGACTGGATGTTTATTTGACTGTTCATGGGCCAGAAGACACTGGCACCCAGTCCGATTGGGATTACTTTCTTCCAGAATTCATCGAACTGCTCACACATGCCGCTTCAGCAGTGGCCGCATCGAACAAGAGCGCATCTCATTGGCTACATACATCGTTCGTTCTAGGCGGCGGTTTCATCATGCCACTATGCAGACTTGCTCTGCGATGTCGGCACCCAAGCACGAGACGAGCCGCGATACACATACTACGCGGTTCCCGTCGTCGGGATGGTCATTTAGAAGGGAAGCTAGCCGCGCGGGTCCTGGAGCGTATCGTGGACGTTGAGGAAAATGGGTCAGGTGAGATTACCGAGTGCCGTGACGTTCCCGAGGCAGCTCGGGTTGCTGGCGTGTTGGTCAAATTTTCGGGCGGAAAGGGGAGGGCGAGACTGACGTATTCTCGTGCTGCTGGCCCGAAAGACGAGCGAGCATTGGTCGAAGAGGAGCTTTCGGGAGGGTCACATTTCCGAGGGGATTAACACTTGTCTTTTTTCTTAGAGGAGAATCTAATCGATCTCTCGAAAGATTTCTCAAGAACTTGAAGCCTTGAGTCGCAGCCAATGACCAATTGACCAACGGACCGAGTCCAAATACGTGCTTTGCAAGGATACTCCCTGACTTGCAGTGTGCTAAATGTTGACAGGGACCGTACGACAGAGCCAATCAGACATATGAAATGCTTTTTAGGTGGACCCTAGTGACGTTTCTTGTCTTAGTTAAAACTACCAGAGGTCGTCCATCCACCGGCTTCGGCTTCGAACGATCTTAGAGATGAGGACGGTCCGTATAACATCTTCAACGCCTCAAATATTACAACATCTTCACCCAAAGCACCCCACGGGCTCACGGGTGCCCCGAGGTTCCCGGCATGGAAAGGCGGGACCGGAATTTGAGGCAATGAACGCGACTAATTAGAAATGACGATGCCACAGGGGCTGGGTTTTGGTCGTGGGCGTCTCATTGGGCCATTCGTACGGCTCAATTGGAATCTGCTTTGTGAGTCGTACGTTGAAGATGTTCGGGGCATTCGGTCGTTATTCTTTCGTACAGACATCGTGGCGAAGCGTGGAACACTGATAGACTCGGTAGAGAATCTCGGTAAGAGTTCGAGACGAGAAGTTATAAAACGAAGCTGTGCCCAAGACCACGCTACTTCTTTACCACCTTGATACCACAGCTTCCATTCTTTCGCTCTAGGGTACATCAATCCATTATCTCGTCCATCATGAGGCTGTTGAACGCTCATTCTTCTTCCACATCGTGGCTCACCACCATCTCACTCCTAGGTACTCTGTATCCAGCCTCTACCTTCTCTCAAAACACCACCACCGGCGCCGAAATTGTCCAAGGATCCCTCCGAATCTACGGCAACGACTCCTACCCCATAACTCAGCGGCGACCTCTTCCCCTCGATGCCGCCCGCGGTCGTTACCCCGGCTTCAAGCAGGAGAACCTGACCTTCAAAGCCGGCACCATCCGTCGCGATGGCGCACTCACTCTGCCCTGCGATATGATCTTCGAGCGCGACGTTCCCCTCACCTTACGCGACGGTGTCACAGTCTATACCGATATCTTCCGTCCCACGACCACCAACGCGACTTTCCCCAGCATCATCTCTTGGAGCTCCTACGGAAAGGAGATCGGCGGCCAATGGCTCGACGACGTCCAGGGTCGGTCCGGTGTCAACCTGTCGTCCGTCTCTGAGTTGCAGAAGTTTGAGGGCCCGGACCCAGCCTACTGGGTGTGCAAGGGCTATGCGATCCTCAACCCGGACAATCGCGGTGCCTACTCTTCCGAGGGCAACATCACATACTGGGGACGTCAGCTGGGCGAGGACGGATACGATTTCGTGGAATGGGCTGCTGAGCAGACGTGGAGCTCTGGCAAGGTTGCCATGTCTGGCAACTCATGGCTGGCGGTGTCGCAATGGTTCATTGCAGCCGAGAACACGCCTCACCTGACGGCGATAGCTCCATGGGAGGGTCTCACGGATCTGTACCGCGACACTGCCGTCAGAGGTGGTATCTCAGCACCCGGTTTCCAGGAGTCGACTCTTACCACTTTTGCCGGCAAGGGATTTGTTGAGGACGTTCCACGGACGGTTTTCTCCGAAGGACTTATTACCCCGTATTGGCAAGACAAAATTGCATCGCTGGACAAGGTCAGTATCCCGGCATACATCGTGGCTAGCTACACCAATGTTCTTCATACCCATGGCTCGTTCGAAGGATTCCGACATATTTCCTCCGAGGAGAAGTGGCTTAGGGTACACAACACGCAAGAATGGACCGACTATTACACCCCGGAATATGTGGCCGACCTCCAGAAGTTCTTCGACCATTACCTCAAAGGCGAAGACAATTGATGACAGTCCACTCCAAGCGTCCGCCTTGCTGTTCTGGATCCTGGGTCTGAGGATACTGCCGATCGCGTTGTCGCGGACTGCCCAGTCCCGGGGCTCGAATCAAAGACCCTCTACCTGCAACCCAACAATTCACTTGGCGAGTCCTCTCCATCTAACGAAGCCACCCTCAGCTACAACAGAAGCACGGCTTCCGGCATTACTCTCAACTTTCAGGTCCCCGAGACCATAGAGTTGACCGGTTACTCCAAGCTCCGACTCTGGGTGTCCTCTCCCGATGCTACCGACATGGAGATCTCCGTCTCCGTGCAGAAGCTCTCTTCCAATGGCACCGCATTTCCCAGCACCCGTAGTGAAAGCTCCAGCACGATCGGCCCGACCGGAACCCTGCGCGTCTCGCAGCGTGAACTAGACACTGAGCGTTCCACGGACTACGAGCCCTTCTTGCTACACACTTCGGAGAAGCTTCTGTCACCAGGGGAGATCGTCCCCGTGGACATCCCTCTCTGGCCCTTCGCTCTCAGGATCCATGCTGGTGAGCTGCTCAGCTTGAACATTGCCCCGGCCTCCATCATCACCGCGCAGGCCGATGTTGGCTTTGGCACGGCAATTGTGCCTGTGCCTGCTACGGGAGGCACATTCGAGCCGGGTCAGAATGTTTCGTTGATTGAGCTGGGAGGTGGTATGGATTCTAATCCGGCCTTTGTGAATGAGCAGAGGGTTGAGACGCCCGTGAGCCGCAACATGGGCATGCACTTCATCCATGTCGGCGGAAAGTACGACAGATTGCTATTGTTCCCAGTCAATAGCACCACTAAAGCGACTGAAATCTGCAAGTAGACTGACAGATGACTCGGATTCTATCTCGGGTTGTGTCAATCTGGCACCTAGGAAGAGTTGAATAAAGTCAATCTACCCTTCCCAAGGATTTTGGGTTGTACCACGACAATGTAAATAGGCTAGCAACATATTGAACGTAGAAATCTGCCTCTCGAAGGCGGATTGAGTACTGAATGCGACAGAAACAAATATGTAGCAGAAACGAATCGATAATTCAAGTCTCAGTACGTGCTCTTACGCTACCATGATCAAAACAAGGCCCACCCCTTTACTTACTCATTGTTATGTAGTTTTGGGTAAGTACTTTGTCCTCTAGACGTTGAACCTACCGGGGTGCTGCAGTAAAGTAATCTCTACAGATGGACTATGCACTGGAGTTGGAATATCCAACGACAGTTGCCACGAACACCAAGAGAAGACTCGACAAGTCAGACGATAGTTTGACAGCCATATTTAAACTAAAGACCTGTGGTAGTGTGAAGACTCGCGCTTTGTTTGCCAAAAATACAAAGAAGGGATAAACGAACGCGTACACTTACGAGTGCACGAATGCGGCAGTGCGTGGTGCCATGTTCAATTTGTGAAGGTTTTCGGTGAGTCAAAGAGTTGGATTCAACTGTCTGTACGGAATAGCCGCTTCCCTTAAAGGACACCTCCACACAACAGCAGGCAACTCAGCATGGCTGCAAAGAATCACACAAGCTACAACTGTCCCCACGTAAAATGCGGAGTACGATGTCAATGATTGAAGAGTAAATCAGTGCGATGACATCCAATATGACACCCCCCCTTGTCGTCCGTGATGACTGGACAGCGACTACCAGGTACTCGACTGATAGCGTCTCCCTAGGTCGGCCCTGGTTGTGCACAGGCTTGAATAAGAGTCAGCTTCGCTCCTTCCAAGTGGGCTGGCCTTCGAATTAAGGATTTGTAGCTTGTTGGGGCTCAAGCAGAATGTCCGACGGGCTTTATCGATATACGGATACTTGGAAGAGATCGACTGGCCTAATTCCTGGAGACCTTAGTCAATGCCCCTGAAAGTTTCACATGGATGCACGTATCTCAACCTCCACTTAGTCTAATTCACTTGAGAGCTTGGCCCCTTGCAAGCGAATCAGACGGCACTGTGTACGGAGAAATATAGACAGGCCCAAAATCAACATCTAATGTCAGCAAGAAGTGGCCCGAAAGTTACTGTAGACATCTAGTTTGAATATCTTACCTTAATAAAAGCATTACGCCATATGGCAAGATGAGAAGGGTCGCCAGTGCTAAACCCTTCAGACAATCCTGCAGAACTTCCCGCGCTCAAGTAGACGTGTGTTGGTAGAGCAATGCTTTCTGAACTGGCACCATACTACAGTTCTAAATCGACAGAAAATCCACGGCTTTTGGGAGATTCGAGTTTGTTCACTTTGATGAATGAACTTCACGCTTGGCTCGGACGTATCCGCCAGCATTTGGTCATTTCTTAATCATTGGCATGACACGACCGCTGACCGAGCCGGTGGGAGCCCGGCGCCAAGGAGCTGGGCTCCCTTCCACGTGAAACTACCTAGTAGATGAAGCTCATTAGTTATACTTTCTTCTATGTCCCTAATTAGATTGATTCCTATTCAGAGATCCCAAGATCCCCTTACTTCGTTGCTGGACTCAAGGCTATATCAGCCCTCATTCCCGACTGCCTACCTCACATGTATCTGAGCTCAACAACCTACAGACAAAACCTCATACAACCACACTGACTACTTGCAACCATGCAATTCCTCAACACCATTGTCGCCGTTGCTTCGCTCGTAGCTGTTGTGACTGCCGCCGATGCGGCTGCACCTATCGAGGCAAGGCAGGCTGCCAGCCCGTGCTATTCCAACCAGAAGTTGACCTGGAATACTGGCCAGATCCCCGGCAGTGGAGGATGGGGTGTATGTTGACCCCACCTGTATGGATTGTATCGCGATGAAGCTAATATTGTCTTTTTCCAGTGCGTCACGAACCTCAACGGTGGCTGCAAGTCGTACTACTGGAAGACTGATCTCCCTTACTACAGCGTAAGTACACAACTCACCGTCCGTCACTGTGTCATGGGACATGTACTAATTCGGGTCAATCTTTAGTGCGCCTAGGTTGCTTGCCACTTAAGCTACATTGTATATAGCTGGAATACCCTGTTCATATCTCAACTGGCCTCGTCTTCTTATTATGCTTTGTTATTCGAGAAGTCATGAGCACACGCGCACAAGCGTGAATCAGCACGAATCTTGGGAAGTAAAATGGTGACATGGGCTTCGATTGGTTTCAGAGTGATAGAAAGAAATGCTTTCGAAAGTATACAACTGAGTGAACCTTCCGGAATGTGGGGAGAGTGAAGGACCACTCATTCAGGAGTCATGTTTTTGGGCTCGCGATCTCGCCGTTTCCTCTACTATGCCGCCTGAGCCATGGCAAGGACCCCAGCCCAAGTCTCTTTCACAGTAGCCGAGATCTGACTAGCAGGAAGAGAAAAGCCATAGGTTCCTCTGTCTCTGAGCTCGATGGTGTACGTGTACTTGGACTTGGCAACGCCGTGAATGTAGTCGGTACTATCGCCAGTGGTTGCGTAAAGAGCACGGCAAGCGTTGCCAATGGTGTAGCTGGTGCCGGAAACGCCACGGATAGCGGTGGCACCGCGCTGGGCCATTGTTTGCAGCGCAGCGTCGTCGGGAGCGACGTAGTTGCAGTCATATCCATAAGCTGTAGGTACATAACACGTCATCAGCATTGCTCCCCCATAGAGACCATGAACGTGACAAACTCACGCCAAAGAATGTACTGCCCGTAGGAGTGGACGTCGAGGTAGAGGGTGATACCCCTGCTGGCGGACAAAGAGTCGATCTGCGCCTTGAGACCCTTGATTTCCGGGGTATCGGCGGCGGTAGCACCCTTGTACGTCTCGGCGCAGGGGCTGGTTGAAGCACCTCCGGTGAGCTCCCACTTATATGGCCAGTTGCGGTTAGGGTCACGACCGACACATGAGCTGCCAGTGTTTGTTTGGCGATTTTTGCGCCAGAGACGGTCAGTAGACTGAGTGTAAACAAAGCCTGCCGAAAAGGTCAGATGAACCTCTTTCCCGTTCACCAGTGAGATTGCTGCATGAGCGCTTACCGTCTGGGTTCACAACAGGAGTGATGTACCAGTCGAACTTGTCGACGACGGCCTTGATAGCAGAGTCGGTCGCATACTTGGTCAAAAGTTGCCAAGCCACGTACTCGGTAGTCTAACACGGCGCCTGGGTTAGAGTTACATAAGGTAGGTCGTAGTAAAGAGCTATTGTATTCGTCACTCACCATCGTGCTGATCCACTCGCGAGCGTGGACGGTGCCGTGGAGAACCACCGCCGGCTTGGACCCCTTCCCTCCGCTTCCCCAGATATGGATGCCAGCAAGGGCTCGTCCTTGGAAAGAAGATCCCGCTGTGGTGAGTTCAGATTGGCTGGGAAAGCTGCTCTGGAGGTCTCTCAAGAAGGTCAAGTGGTCCGCATAGCTATGGTAGGCAGTGAACCAGGTTTCGCTGGGGACTGAAGAGTCGATAAGAGTGAGTAGAATTCAATTAAAAGTGACAAAATTAAGTACATGTACTCACCAGCATACACCGTAGCCACATCCTCCTCGGCAAAAGCAGCACCGACATCCTCGAGGAGAATTGTAGTATCCAGAGCCAGCTGGCTGATGGCGTCGATATTGTTGGGAGATACGACCACATCGAGCTGTTCTCTGGCGCCGGGGTTCAGTATCGTTGCAGTCAACTCGTTGATCTGGTCGGCCAAATCCTCGGAGCCCTCGGGGAGGGTGATGCGAAGACCCTTGAAGCCAGTATAGTCAACCTTAGTAGATTTGGGAACAGTCGCACCCAAGACAAAGGAGACTAGAGCAACGGCTGAGATGAGAGAAGCCTTCATGGTGAGCTGGTGCGCAAATAATGATGCGGTGATGAGATTGAAGCTTGGCACTGACGATTCGAAACTTGGCAAGGTATGTGCAGCTGAAAGCCTCCATTTTATAAGCATCGGAAGCAAGAACCGTACGCAACTGAAAGAGGTCGCTTATGGACTTGCAGCTTCCCCCCTATTCTCAAGCTGGATAAGCCTTACATAGTTGTGGTATGTCAAAGTGAAAGAGAGAGGTGATAATCTTGCTGAGGAAGGACGCAGTGAGTTGGTGACATCGACAGCTGCCAAGGCGGAAGATCTCATGGCTTGGCAAAGCGCCTTGCCGGATGAAGAAGTTGCAAGCCGTCTTGGTATGGTAGAATACGCGCAATCAGGTAGGTATAATTATGTGTCGCAGCTGCAATTGCTGTGGAGCTCAGTTAAGGACTGAGGCACGAGCAAGAAGGTGGCACCATGGTATCTGAGTCGTGACATGCGAGCGACGGCTGGTGCCGTCCCTTTTTCCGCCTACAGGACAGACAAGAGCCAGCATGTGCCGTTTTGGCGACGGTGCTTTCCCTAATGTGATTGATTCCATGTTCTCAAGGTGGGAGCCTCTCGAATGGGTCACCCGAATCGTGCGTCACCTCGAGGATGGATTGCGTGGGCTTTACTGCACGTCTAGCTGAATAGATCTCATGGAATTGGTCTAAAGGAGCTGAGTCTACATATTAAAATAAATACTGTAAGCGACAATCTTCGATGCCATCTTCACAGATATTTGAAGCGTCGAGCAACAAGAACCGAGAGCAAAGCAAATGCTATAATACTACCCAAGATCCCAAAGAATGCGTTTAAATTGTCAGTGTCTTTCCAGGGAACTTTGACGTTCATACCGAACAGACCACAGACAACATTCAACGGAACGATAACGGTGGCGATAACCGTCACACGACTCAGAAAGTCGTTCGTCCGGTTGCCCATATCAATGTTGTCAATTGACAGCTGCGCGAGGTAGTTGCTGTGAGACCGCGACAGCATGGTGTCGAAATGGATCAGGCTGTGCATCATCGTTACCGCGTGATCTTGGATATCTCCGAGATAGAGGGCAATGTCCATATGTGGCGTGACGTCGAAGTCCTCGGTGCATCTCTTAGTGAAAGCCCGGAGTACGTCCGCCTTCCCGCCAAGTAGGCGCATGAGACTCATCACGTTCTTTCTGGTGTATCCGATCTTGCGAAGGAAAGCTTGGTTGTCATCTACTCTCGTGATGAATACTTGATCCTCGATCGCATCGGCCTCGCGCTCGATTTCGTTGATCGCTGGCCCGAAAGAGTCCACAATGTCGTCGCTAAGGTATTGTCAGATGAGTTCCGGTGCAGGGCTGGTTAATCTTCTACGCTTCAGGGCCTTACTTACATCAATGCATAGCAGATCCAGTCGCTGCTGAGCGAAACCTGCTCCTTCAATTGCGAGATCCGGAATCGGACCCTCGACGCATGTGAGTTTGCAGTGAAACTGAAGCTGAGTATCCCCTCTTTGAAGACTACCGCGTAAACGTTGAACGGATGGTAGTCTTTCTCATTGTCTTCTTCGACAACGATGAAGGACCTGAAGCAGGCAAAGTAGTACAACGGGAAGAGCTCAATCTTCTCGCGACTCTCTTGGTGGATGATATCCTCGATAGTAAGGGGATGGATACCAAAGGCTTTGCAAATCGTCCAGACCTCGCTGCCAGTCGGGTTATTCATGTTGAGCCACCAGACGCCATCGGCCTCCGCCTCGGGCATCTCAAACAAAGACCTGATGCTCTCGCCCGGGAGGACGAGGTCGCCAAACTCAGCCGCATGGATGGTTGATTCCAACGCCGAAGAGAAGTAATTGAAGCGGCTTTGCTCGATGTGCTGGCTGGCCCTCGGGAGCGGTTGTTGGGTTGCTGTCGTCTCCTTCTCTCCCGCGATGGAAGCTGCCTGGGATGCAACATCGATGAAGTCTCCATCAGAGGTAAACATGCGCGTGACGGTCGGGATGGCACTATCCGGAAGGTTAACAAAGTTGGAACTGCCAAATTGATCGCGATTCTCTGCGTCAATCAAGGTCTCCAAATAGTCAAAGTCGATGTGGAGGCCATCCTTTTGGGTGTTGTCGAGCTTGGAGTCCTCGGCTTCGAGAGATGACTTGGGTTTCGGCACGGGCGAAGACGTTCCGTGAGCACCGTGATCGAGAGCTGTGCGGCTGTGGATGCTACGGCCGGCGCTGTTGGAATATGGTTGAGGAATTCGTTGCCCGTAGTCATCATTCCTCTCAACCTCGGTCTGAGGTCTGCGCGAGGAGGCCCTCGGATCATGCGCTTCGACATCCTGTCCTCTGCGGCGCGCATTGGCGAATGCCTTGACGGAATTTGGCGGCGACGTGGTGCGCCTCGACTCGATGGTAGGACGTCTGCTCAGAGGTCGCATAGTCGGGGATTCGAAGTTGGTCATGTTTGCTACGTCACGGGTCGGGACTCGTTCGGGTTCTCTTCCTCGAGGACTCGAGATGCTGTCTGCGTACCGGGGGCCTCCGTTGGGGCTCAAAAGGGTTGCGTCATCATGTCCCTGGATGGACTTGCTGCCTTCCTTCTGCGACATGACGTTACCTCCACTGCTGTTGCTGTGATTTGAAGCTGAATTGGTATCGATGCGGAACACAAGGGCTGATTCTTCTTCGAAGTGTTCCTTCACCGTTCGTTCGAGTGGTGTGCTCGTAGGTATCGCTCCTTCGTACGCTTTGCCATATCCTGGCAGATGTTTGGATCAGAGTGGTGAGGTAACTGAAATGGCTTGCGGTCGTGAGGTCCTGTGAAAGCGGTGACCATTCCAAAAGTTTGAGAGATAGTCCGCGATGCGTGTTGTGCTGTGACGATGTTGATTGCTCTTTGGAGTCTGAGAACGCAGAGGCGACTGCAAATATTGACTGAATGACGATACGTGTTTGAAGATGGGATGGAAAAGTACGGGCGAGATCAAGGTTTTTGAGACTGCTTACCCGGCTGGGTAGAGACACTAAGAGACTACCCGTTGCCCTACCTTACCGATCAGATACGTTCTTGAGCGACATCACAGGCACCGCCTCACACAGGCGGAGTCATATTAAACCTTCCCCATGGGGCGGCCTCTTTTACCTCTGCGGTATTAACATTCAGCTTTCAATGCCGATCTAACTACCTTATCTACATGAGAAACTTCAAAGCTGATATCATGCAAGATCAGAGCCCGCGCTTCTCGAGAAGACTTTTGCGGTTCTTCGAGAAAAGCAGAACCAGCAATTAATCTGTTGCCGTCATAGCCGCTTTCGCATGTGTCGTTGAACTTATCCAAACTTTTTGACGCAGGCCTCCGCGCCACACAGCCCCAAACCTCCCAAGCTCGATTAGGAACAGACATCAAATGTCTCATACTGGATTGGGCCACGAGCGGGCGCTTCGGGCCCCGGGGTCGTGGAAGAGAAATCATCGCATAGAATATTCTCTATTCTCTCAAGCGCAACGGCCGCGCTACCAATGCACCCCATGATCAGGTGCTGATGCACATCAGTGAGTTGTCGCGCAAGCGCGTCTGGGCACCATATTCAACACGTCGCATTCGCGAAGATTTGATTGAGCGGTCTGTCGTTGGCGCAAGAGAACTAGAGTTTAGACTCGACTAATTCACCCAGACTGGTGGGTGCGAACACGCGACCGATTCTGCAGTAAGACGACGACTGGTGTTTAGCTCAAGCCCGGACTGGGAGCTGCCGGGAGAACTACGATTCATTGCCCCTCATAATAAGGCTTGCTAAGTTTGAGACTCAGCAGTCTTTGGATCTGAACCTTACGGGCGATGACATTCTCTCTATAACGTCTTTGGATAAGGTGTTGCCGAGCTCGGTCTGGTTCAGACACGTGCTGCTTGACAGGGACTCGAGCTCAATCGCAGCGTCACGCTACTGAATAGACTCAGGTACTGGAGTGTCTCCAGTGGCCAATGCTGAACACCCGACGCAAAGCGCTGCATACCTTCTTGAAGGGACGATGCGACAAAGGAGATCTTCGGAAAGACAATGAAGACACTTGTTACTGTAATCAATAACAGACTCATTCGAGACTTTCCGTTTCTACACTTAGTAAGAGACTGTAGCTAATGGCAGCAAAATGCAGCATACTTTGTAAACTCCTCATCTGCCTGCAGTTGCCCCATCTCGTCAGCGAACAAACTCACAAGCAGCTCGATACCCCCATGACCCTTCATCGGCAGCACCATCGAAGCCTGAAATTGGCATTGAAAGCATCCATCAAGGGTCGTAATGATTCCGGCTTGCCATCATTGCTAAATACATGCCCGCCGAAGTTAATCTTATCCAACGGCAACAATAAAACCGATGTGATCATGACATCAAAACCATCAAGCCGGGTGAAAGCATGCTTCAGCTTCGTATAATCAGGGACCTCGCGCATAAGCGTGAACGCGTCCTTGACTAGCCCCGGATTTACCTTGGCCGCCTGTGCGCGAATTTGTAGGGCGACATCGCGTAAACTCGTTGTCGGCGACGCGAGCTCATTCATCCGCATGGTAACTTTGTTGACGATGACAAGGTTTCCGGCATACGATGATGGGAGCTCTGGGTCGAAATCCGTGCGACCATCAACAAGCGACTCCAGGTACGACATTTCGTCCGCCGGCGCAGGCTGGCCAGACGCGATGGCCGCCTTGTACCGCGCTTTCATGAGAGCGCGCCAGAAAAGCGCCAAAAGTGCATCAATTGCCGACAATCCCGCCCCATCATGAGAGTCATCTAGCACGTCTTTCTTCAGATTATTGAAGCTGTCCGGAGAGATGTAGAAGATACTAGACTCCATAGTCCGAGGTGGGGCTGTAGAAGATGCCGTTTCTTCCTCCGCCTCCGGCGGTTGGAAGCCGAGAAAGCCCCATGTATCGCGCGGGATCTCGGCAGCGGGCTTGGCGGGCGTCTTACTCCACAACCGCTCAAGAAGTGTACGATCGAAACTCTCGGGTGCCAGCCAGCTGCAGACGTTGACGTCCGGCTGCGAGAGGTTTCTACAGTGTTCTGACCACGCACGCATCGCTGTGACCATACCGGTCGCGTCGCTTGCGGAATGGTGGAATCCCGTCGCGAGAATGCATCCGCCGTTGACGAAATTCGCTTGCGCCAAAAACACATCGGCGCCGCCCGTCAAGTCTGGCACGAACGGGGCGGCTAGGACGAGTTCATCGTCAAAGGCCGAGAACTCGAACCCTAAGTCGCGAAGATCCTCATAGTCGGGCAGCACCTGCGACAGATCCTTGAAGGCGAGCTGTCGGGGAGCTACATCTGCGGTATTTGAGAGGCCTGGATCATAAGACACTACAATATGCCTCGGTCTCCTACCGGTCTCATGCTCCTTGCGTGGGTAGATGCGACCATTGAGGAAGGGAATTGACGCAAGGTTGAGTGAAGACCAGCCTGGAGGTGCGAGAATGACTGTTGGAAGTTGACTTGAGGCTTCAGTGGTAGATAGACGATAAATTTAATATACACTCTTGGAGGGATGAGATCGAAGACGCTGAGTTGAGTAGTGATCTCGGTCAAGGTCTCCTTCGCTACGCCGGTATCGGCACGGATGGCCGCCTTGGTGTAGGTATTGGTAGCCATGATAGTTGATAAAGTCTAGCATTCATCACAAACTGCTGAAAGTCATATCACTCTCTCAGAGACTGCGGATTGATCTCATGTACGTCGCTACGAGCCCGTTATTATGGACTCATGGTAGCTTAATTGCGTGCGTGTCCATGATTATCTCAGCACATGATAGACAAGGTCTTGACTGAGTCGGGGTTGACCAAGTTCGTCCCGGAAGATCCCAATGGGGAAGTTAACCTTGAACTCAATTCAAGTTGCTACTAGCTAGAAACTTCAAGTAAGCTGTTAAAAGGCTCACTCTTCGGGCTTTGAGGGAATAGCGAATATTGAGAAATCCTACTGAAAGCCAGTAGCAGGCTGAGACTCATGTGCTGGTTAGCCCAAAAGATCTTGGCAAGAAGATGTGAAGCAATGCAAGCGCGAGACTTATTTTTAATCGAAATGAGAACTGAGATGATGAGAATTGGCCCTCTTTAATATCATCCCTCTTAACTAGCAGGCCACTTCGTCCTCCGCACTGCCCTGGCATAGAAATTCAACGGCCGAATAACAATGAACTCAGGGTCGTATACCACGGCTTCAGTAGACGCATCCTCAAAGTGGTAGCGGTAGACCAACTTTGCCATCACACTCTTCACTTCAAGAAGTGTAAGGTTGTATCCCACACAACCCCGGGTACCTGCTGCGAAAGGGGTGTAAGACATCTTGTGCCGGCCCTCCACGTCCTCCGTGTCCCAACGATCCGGGTCAAAACGCGTCGGATTGTCCCAGTGCGCTGGATTCTTGTGCAAGGAGGGGAAGGTTGGAATGATGACAGAACCCTTAGGTAGGAAGTACCCGCCAGGTAGTACGACATCTTGCTTTGCGTTCCTCGCTGTTTGGAAGGACGGGTTGTGCATTCGCTGCGTCTCTCTCACAAATTTGTCGAGGAACGGCATCTCGGTGAGCTCAGTGTAAGACCACTGTTTATCAGGCGATGCACCACATTTGATGAGTTCTTCGAGCAGAAGCTGCTGGTTTCCGGGATATTTGGCCAAAGCATAGATGAGCCAAGCTAGAAGAGAAGAGGTCGTTACAAAACCAGCCCCGATCATAATGACGCAGTTGCTTAGCATGATCTCTTCCGGTAAATTTTCTCCCTTCTCATCGGTAACCCGGCGAAGATAGTCAGCGACGCTGGTGGCATGGAGTGCAGCGTCTTTCATTGGCAGATCACCGCTGGCCTTGACCGAATCCGCAATGCCTTTAGCAACGCCATCCCACAAGAGCTGCCTCACTAGCTTGAGTCTCTTTGGCGTCCCGAACGGCAAGTACCCATACCAGCTTCTGCGTAAAGATTTTTTCTTCATGAGCGAAAGATACTCGCCAAGAAGCCGAATGGTCTCATGAGGCTTGGTGTCAATTGAGTCAAAGTGACCCAGGTCCATGCCGAGAATGACCTTCCAGATGATCTCCCCGGCCATCTTGAAGGTGTAATGATAGACATTGAATGCCAGTTCTTTCTCATCCAGGTCATCAAACACATTGAATGATCTCTCGACGCAAGATAACACATTCGGTGTGTAGTGGCAGACTGCCTTTGGCGTTAAGCTGGGTGGAATGAACTTGTGCGCTAATTTGAATGCCGGCGCATCGCTGTCGCAAGTGAACAGCGCTTCATTGTTCCGCATGTAGTAAAGAGGGTGGCCGGGATCCGATGTGGTCTTGGTGAAGAACTCCCCTTCGCGGAGAACTTCGCGAGAGACGTTGGGATCGTTGGTGAGGCATGTCACCGTGCCCATGTTGACTGTCTTGATTACGGGCCCGTCCCGTTCAAAGAGGCGATCATAGTTCCCAAGCGGATCTGGGTAGAGTTCATAACGGTTGCCAACGTGCGGCAATGGTTCTGGTCCCAGCGGCTCTCTAACAGCTTCGCCGTTTACTCTGATTTGCACTGGGCCATCACTCCTCTCAACTTCGTCGATAGAAGTGAGCACATCTTTCCGATTGTAAAAGCAGATTGCTTCATAACTGTCAGTCTTTTTCCTCGGAATTGCATGTCAAATAGACGATCGGTTTGGAGACTCACAATCAGAGTCCGATACTGAGAAGACACGTGCAATTCCGGATCTGAGTTCCTGCATGCTTCTAACGCTCGGAAGATTCAATGTCTGGCATCGCTCGTAAGAGCCATGGCCAATGGTGAATTGCGGAAATGCCTTGAGGTGAGTCTCTACAGGTGAGGTCGAGGCTAGTAATTACGCGAGAACTAGTGCTCTGCAAAGCAACGAGACCAAGAACGATGAGATGAATGGAGAAAAAGCAACTTTGCCGCGATGCCCGAGATCACCGTGGTCTCGGGGCCTGCTAATATACCGAAGACGAAGAATGTTGAGGTTCCTTTTCCCATTGTTCTTCCTCATCCCATTAACCGGGGCATCCCTGTGGTGTTCTAACGGTTCTCGTCCACAAAGAGATGCCGGATACTATTCTGGGAAGATCCGCAATGGCAGGTCCCCGGACGGGTCCCCGTTTGGTTAGGCCCGTTCCCGTTTTGGGCAGCTTTCAACTACTCCTAGCAAAAAGCTGGAGACGATGATCACATCACACAGGGCCAACTTGGTGAAGTGACCACATTCGGCAGCTGTATAACAAATGTTCCAGTTGAGAAATCAGTGTTGACCAATTCTGAGTGAGATCACATTGTGAAACTTGACCGCCGCCCATTATGCAGGCCATCAGTAGGTCGGATTTATCCAAGCATCACGAGGTTGATGATCTCTGGGTGTCAATCCGGGGCAAAGGTTCGTAGATGTGATGCACGTTCACGACACAGGCTGACTTCGGGTCACATGTTATACAACGTTACCAGCTACGCCGACGATCATCCTGGGGGTATGGAAGTCTTGAAGGACGTCGCTGGATCTGACGGCACTGAAAGCTTCGAATATGTGGGCCATTCAGAGGACGCATACAATACACTTGAAAAGTTCCAAGTTGGAGTGCTCCTCGATCATGTGAGTCTAGACGAGGGAACAAGAACGTCACCAGTTGATGTTGATATCTGGAACTTGCAGGAAAACGGTGCTGAAGCACGACGGGGACTTCAAATGTAACTGCGGACGGAAATTATCACCTACCCATCCAGTATACTGCGCGAAGAACCGCCGTACGGCGGCGCTGTGGCCGATCACCGGGCCCAAAAAGGACCCGGGCCCCTTACCGCCCCCGAAGGGCCAGGCCGAAGCCTATTGGTACGCCCTGATCAGAGATCCGGGCGCCTTTGAGAAGTTCGAGCGCTTGACGCGGTACTTCGAAACGCACTCCCTATGAGGGAATAGCGAGCCCGAGATACCACGCCTCACACTTTATCATACCTGCCGATACCTGTTGGGCCATGGCCCTACCTCCACTCTCCCTCTCCCTCCTTTATTTACCAATCTACTCGAGATAATACTGGAAAACAGAAAAATATACTCGTGGGTAATTACGCCCGCGAGGGCCGGCCTTTTCGTTATAGCCCGTCGTCCGTGGACGATGTAGGGCTACTCAAGCCCCATTCGCTTCTGCCGAGTCAGAAACCCCCTGCTGGCGTGCTTTTTTGGAACTGAACGGACCCTAGGGATTAGCTAATAATCTCCACTGCTCTAGGCACGAGAAGAAAAGTGTACATTACAGATTGCCTGACTTGTCGTACGCTACTATGGCGGCACGGCACATCATATGCCCAAAGGGCGCTCTGGTTGATCGGGCTTAGTTAGTTAGATAGCTAGGTTCCTATCCCTGATGATGTTAAATACTACTACTACTACTACTACTAATTGCTTGAAAGGGACGGACTCATACCTGTACAGACGCACTTGTCATCGTGGACCTTGTTATGGTTGGGAATGGGGCTTTCGGCCATAATAGGCGCAAGCGGTTGCTTGTACGTGTACGCGAAGTTTACGAAGACCTTGGAGTATCACAAGGAAGTCTGGGAGTACCCGTCATATTTCAGCTCCAAAGTCAATCGAGCGGGTATTTGAGGGGTAGACCGGGATGAGGAAGAAGGTTAAATATCGAAACAACTTCCCATGCTGACTGATTCACGACTGACTCGTCAGTGCTTGGTGGCAGCCGATGAGCCTTGCTACATAGACCGGAACACCCTCCAGCTGAATTCTTCCCTTCGCGTAGTCAGTACGCATATCAACAGATAACACATTTCAAGATGCACACCTATTTCCTTGGGCTAAGCCTGATGGGATATGATGCCTGTGGGGGCGGATGATTCGCAGCGGCGTAGCGAGCGAGGTCGGAAAGGTGAAGCAGACGGGGTTCTTCCCTAATGGCGACATACTTCGAACGAATTTCATCGGCCTCCAGATCTTTGATAAGCTGTTGGTTCCAGCCGTCATCTTCTACAGCAATGTCCTTAGAAATGGTTCTCGTTCTAATCGTATGCTGCTGGTCAGCCTCTTCACCACTATGCAAACAACGTCTCATTGCATGCTTATCTTGGGTTAGAGTCGGGGCAAGAGGCAGCACTGGGCGAGCTTGTAAGTTCCAAGATATATTTTCATACCCATCTATTTACACTTAACTAATTGCCACGCTTACAAGTGAGCACTTATTCCGGGGAGTCTTGAACCAAGCGTGGGGCGCAGCGGCTGTCTATCCTCTTTACTGCTTCACCCATGTTCAAAGATTCCTAGACGGCGAGAAGAGCCAGCCAGAGAGCCAGGAGATTGGTCCTTCAAACACAGAAGAAGCAATAGCTCTGGTTCCGACCACAATCTTGGGAGCAATGGCACCTGCCATGCTTCTCTACCCAACATTCACTGAAACCTGTTCAACGTACCAACGGCAGGGGCTAATAGCGTTATATCGCTTAACACCCCTTGCACTCGCATTTGCTCATCCCTCCTTTGTCTGGCTTCAGGGTAAGATCTCAAAGTCATTGGGCTTAAAATTGCAACAAACAGCCTCGAAGAAATTCGTCACAGCATCCTTCCTCATCTCGGGGGCTACCGCCGCGGCTGGGCACCTATAGGCGTTGACATGTTCGGAAGACGGAGGCATACGTCGAACGCTTTCACCTGCTGCTTTTATCAATCCAGCATCCCCTACGGTAATCGCCGATGGTGCCCGAGACTTTCTCCAATGGGACATTTTTATCATTGCCGCGGCTTTAGTTCCTTCAACGGATCTCATCCTAAAATCATCTCATTCATTCAAAAGCCTTCGAAAGCGAAACAAGTGGTTCCAAGTTCTGGCAGACTGATTCATTGGAAGAATGGCTGGTCTCACTCTTGCTAGTAGTATCTTGTCACCAGGCGCGGTCTTGGCTGTTACCTTGGCGATCAGGGCTCACCAAGCATGAGGAACAGGGTTGCCGACGTTTGTTTGTCAAAATAGGATTTGCTTGTTGTATCAAGGGGCCTCTTTCAGCGTTTTCTGTTCTTACTTGGGAATCATGACGACCAGAGCACATGGAACTTAAGGAAGTAAGGGAGAAAGGTGCTTCCCTGGGATTGTTGGTAGATGACTTGCTAATTCACTCATTGGGCTGAAGTGGCCTGGGGACTGGATCAAAGTGGACATGATTCTACGTGCTATGAGCCTGTTTCTTCCCGATCCACCTCTCTACTTTTCCTTTGCAAATTTGTTTTTGCCTACAATATCCAACGCCAACTTCGACAGAGGTGAAGGACTCAACAACTCGAATACCGAAATGTCGCTCTGCACATCGCGGAATAGGCGGTTCCGGAGCTCAACAGCCTTCAATGAGTCGACTAGATGTCATGTCAGCATGATGATCACTTGTGAAAAGAAGTACTAGAAATCATGTGCGTGTATACCTCCAAAGTCATAGGAAGCCTTCTCTGTGTCAATGTCCGTTACCGCTACGTCCATGATCTGTGCTGCAAAGCCTCGGAGGACATCTTCTACAATGATCACCGCATCTTGAGCAGTCTCCGCTTGTGCAAGTCGTTCCATAGGAGTTTTCTGTCCGCCGAGGGAACCTGTGCCACTGGCCGAGGCGAGACTGACCCGGTGACTGAACTTCGGATCCTTGGTCTACGACGCTGATGAAAGACCAACGGACATTGAATGACCAAGGCCAAGGACAATCTGTGGCTCGATAGGTTTGCCGTCTGATGTCTGACCTCGCATGGCAGCTTTAAGGACAGCATCGAGCTCTGGCTGAGTGGTCTGCAAACCATCCCACCGATGCTCGTACATTTGAAGATAGGCGTCTATATCGAAGTCGCCAGTGAAGTGGGCCGAGTCGGTCACTAAACCATCATCGATTGCGGTAGCAGCGAGGCCCTGGCTTCGACGGAAATAAGCGAATGCATCTTCGAATGTGTTTCCTGCGGCGTAGTTTGACTGCGCAGCATTCCCGATGACGCAAGTGATTGAGGAGAAGAGAATGGAGAAGTCCACGTCTCGGGGAATGGACTGATGAAGGTTCATTGTGCCCTGAATCTTGGGGAGAGTTGATCTTTGCCATTGGTTGTACGTCATGTTCTCAAAGATTGCATCCTGGTAGCGAGTGTTAGTGGTACAGAATCATGTGGAGGTGAAAGTCATCTGACGATAAATGCACTCTCTGCTGGAATTCAACAACTTACCTCTAGCACCATTGCGCATTGGATCACACCCCGGATAAGTCGCCCTTGCCTCTGGAGACTTCGAACTATATCTTCGACTTGAGATGAAATCGACACATCGCATTTGAAAGCATCAATAGCCAGCCCTCGTTGGCGGAAGAAATCCAAGTCTGCCGAATTCTTCTCTCCTCCTGATCTTGAGAGAAAGACGACATGCCCAGCACCATGCTCGAACATCATGTCCGCAATCTGGAGGCCTAGTGCACCCAGACCTCCAGCAAGAATATAGGTTCCCTGCTTGTTGAGTTTTAGTTCAGGTAATTTGGAAGGGCGCAGTAGAACTTGAGCGTAGGGGTCAAATTTCAGAATCATCGTGCTGGGCGCTTCGCCATCGTCAACGAGTGACACAATCTCATCAACTTCAGATAGCGATCTGATAAATCGAGGATCCGGTCGAATCAAATCTCCAGTCTCAAGGAGCTTGCAAGTTTCGTCAAAGATGCGTTCAGCGAGCTTCGGCTTTGCTTTCGCAAGTCGAGATACGTCCACGCGAAGGAAGGTGATGTTACGGCGGGAAGCAACAAAGGGGCGAGCGCTTCCAGATGCGTTAGGCTCCATGTCGATAAAAATTCCGAAGTCGCACAAACAATCGATCCATTTGGGAGAGATTTTGCCAGGTTGACAATTTAGTACAACGTCCACCCCTCGATTCTTAGTTTGACGAAGCATCTCGGCCATGCACTGAGAACATGACCCTGATCAATCCCTATCCCCTTTTCAATGCTGTCTGTTGCAGTGGAAGCCTTGACGGTAACAAAGACTTCAGCTTTAGCCAGCTTTAGCCAGCTGTGCTCGCCGGATCGCTGCTCTGCCTATCGGCGAGTCGCCCCCACGAATGAGAATGGTCTGGCCGCTTTCGAGTCTCGCGGTCTCGATCAGAGCAAACGCCGCGGAGAACAATGACGAAAATGTTGTCAAAGTTTCTTCGGGCGATGAAGTTGACGATATTGGTCGGAGAAACGACCCGGGGACGTGGACCGTGGTGCTGCAGGGCTCCGAATGAAGCGCGATGACTCGTTGTCCAACTTTCGTAGTCACCTCCAGAGATGATGTCGCGGATATTGTTCCAATGATCGCAGAGGAAGCTAGAGTGTCGGAAATATTTTCGGACATCGGCGTGATTTGCACAAGCGCATGTTCAACTGTGATCTCAACATCCCCGTCCAGAAGAGTCGGAAACATCTCCGACCTATCCACCCAAACGACTTTTCTGTCTTCTCGGGCCAGCATCAAATTTCTCTTGCTGCCCAAAGTCCCTTTCACTAGCTCAAGGTTCCTTTCTGGACTTTCTAAGTCTGCGTCCATACTTTCATCTTCGACGAACCTCGGCACGAACACCCCACCATCGGATTCGGCATATTCCATTTCAAGTTGACCATAACCTCCTTATGCAGAGCTACACCATATATCAGTAATGATCGTGGCAGCGGCATCCACACTCAGGCTAGTGGCTCTAGACAGATCAAGATGTGGCAACTTGACTTGGGAATATTCTGTGCGCATAACCCGTAGTAGACCTTGGGTTGGCGCGAACTCTAGCCCATCCTTCCAATTCTCTATGAGACCACCACGCGTGATCCACAGTATTTGGGAGGCGTTGGAAACGAGACGCTTGAAGTGTTCAAAATCTTCATCGTTCCAGTTATATACTAGGGGAGACTCGACCTCTAGCAGGGAAATGATGCATTTTCCTTTCAATCGATCAACGTCCGACAACGATAACGATGCTAAGGTGACCTCCCGATTGAGCGATGTCAGCTTCTCGGTCAAAGTGTCGACAAGACGTCTACTTGATGCGTTGAGATCCGGCCTGTGCAGAAAAAGACTTCAGATGGCAGAGAGTCAACGTTCGAAAGACTCGGCCTTTTTGCGATCATGAGCGTTCTCTTGCTATTCGTGTCCAACAAGCAATTGCTTGGTTCTATCCCTGCTGAGCGGATCATTGACTCAACATCTTGACCCAGTACTGAGGTGTGGTCATCCACACCCACCAAGCAGAGAAGCCCTGTAGATCGTATGAAGCCCCGCAGTGCAGATAGCGTCGAGTGGTCCCAGGAGGTGTCTTGGTGTTGAGTTGGCCTTATGCTGACGATCAAGTCAAATGATTCATCCGAGAATGGGGCTGCATCTTGAGACATTGGTTTCCAACTCCGAGTGTCCACCTGATAATTCTGGGTTGAAGACAATTGTTGGGCCAGATGTGCAGCTGTCTCCGAGGTCGTAACGACTTGAACCTTTTTCTCTTTTCTGCCTGAAGCTCTCCTGGAAAGGTTGAGTAGCGCTTCCAAGAAGAGATGAGAGCCATCCGACGCATCGTGCATGACGACAAGCTTTTTGTAGCCTGGCCTCTTATGGTGCAACCTGTCTAACAGTCCCGCTAGAGCCTTGAGGACTTTCTCTTCGACGGAAAGCTCCTCGTGGTCACTAGAGTCCCGCTCTAAGTCAAGAAGAGATGCAGGGGAGCGTATGAGATCGATGTCCTCCTTCCATCTCAGCTTTGCACACACCTTTCGCGCAGCCCTACCGCTGGAAGAAGAATCTTGTGAAGATTTCACTTTTCTCAACGCAAAGTCGCGGACAACCAACTTGGGACTGCTCCAGAGCCCATCGGACACGATCAAATCACCAGACGTTTCACGACCATTGGATCGAAGACGTTTGGCGTAACCGCTGTACCTACCACCCTCGCCTTGGGGTAGATCTGCAGCAACGTACATGTGCTTCAATGTGTAGGGCACTGCAGCATCCTGTAGTGGCCTTCCATCTGAAAAGGCAATGAAGAGAAGGTGGAAAATAGCGTCCATAGTTGCCGGGTGGATTAGATGGGGGTTTTCGAAGTCGAAAGGCATGGAAGACTTGGTATCTGGGATGCTGATAGATCCGTGGGCGCAGTGCTCGCCGGTGACTACACCTGCTTCAAACACATTTCTGAAAGTTGGCCCGTACTCCACGCCAACAGACTTGAGATGGTCAAAGAAGCAGTCCATTTCGATCTCTTCCACGGCATTGAGCTTGATGCTGTTATAATTGCCAGTCATCCCTCTCCATTCCTCTTCAGAGGGAGCTGAAGCAATCTCCTTTGCGTCTTCGTACTCTAAGCCCACGGTTCCATGGCAGTGCTTAGTCCACGAGCCTTTAGAGGGCATAGAGTAGACAGCAAACTTCCACGTAGACGGACGTGCTTCGTCGGGTCTGAGGCTAATTTTCGTCTGCACACCTTCCTCCCTGAAAGGCACGACGAGTCCACGCTCAAATTTAAGGTTCTGAAATCCGATGCCCTTTAGTTTCCTCGAGGTGTCCTGCAATTGAAGTGCAGCTTCCAAGGCCATCACAATCATTCCAGCCGCAGGGTAAAGTACGGTACCGGTAATCTTGTGATCTTCGATCCATGGGTTCTCAGAAGGGCGGAGATAATTGCGCCAGCGGGGCTCCATTGGATTTTGCAGGACGACCGGCACCCCTAGTAGATCGGTTCGAGGGCCACCTGGAAATCTGGCTGATCGGGCCACTGACGACTCATGCCAGTAACTCTTGGTATGATTCCAGGGATATGACGGCAAGTCGGTCAATGAGAGTGGCAAAGACTCTGGGTAGATGCAATTAACGCGCAAAAGGTTTATGCTGTGGCCCGAACTCCAAAGCTGACCAGCAAGCTGTAGTGCCGTCATCTCTGCATCCTTGTTACGTACGATGGCGGAGAAGTAGGGTGCCTCTTTTGCGGCGTTGCTCTGGCTTGTCTTGACGATTTCGGATACTGGGCTCTGTAAAGCTCCATGAGGGCCGACCTCGATGAAAGCGCTCCACTGAACTCGATTACGACCCCGGCCCTGTGTAGTCTCTGGCGCGTGGTCTAGCAAAGCAGTCATCGCTGGTGAGAATCGAACCTGCTCGCACATGTTCTTCATCCAGTACGATGCATCGAGGTCCTTGGAGGTGACCGTACCCCCTGTAAGTGATGAGAACATTGGGCAAAGTTGTTCAGCTCTAGCCAGAGGGACGATGCTGCCCATTTTACCAAGGTACTCTTGGGCGACTGTTGCCATGTGAGGTGAGTGGTAGGCCGTCTTGACGCGGAGCAGTCTTGCAAACTTTTCATCGGCGGAAATAACGTTGCACAACTTCGTGACAGCGTCTTGGTCGCCTGACAAGGTTACGCTTGAAGGGCTATTGAAACAAGCTATCACCGCAGAACCGGATGGTACTTGTTTGATGTACTTGGAAGCCTCTTCTTCGGATATTCCAGCAGCTGCCATTACACCTAATCGAGGAGCAACATTGTTGGCCACCTTTGCTGAGCAGATTCCTCGAAGATATGCAATTTTTACCGCATTGCAACGGGATAGAAGTCCAGCAGCATATGCAGCGCCTGTAAGCGTATTAGTCACTGGCCCTTGCGCTCTGAAATTAGCGAACAAGGCGAATCATGTACTTACTGATTTCACCACTAGAGTGCCAACAACTGCTCTAGGCTTTACTCCCCACTCTCAAAGTAAATCAATCAGTGCAATCTGGAGAACTGTACACAGCACTTGGCTGTACTGAGGGAGGTCAACGTTTGATTCGATGGTCCGAGATAACTCGTCTATCAAATCCCATGGGCAACCATATTGTTCAAGAAGGACTTGCGACCGATGAATGCTTGTCCGGAATATGCAGTTGTTGAGTAGCTCTTTGCCCATCGCGGGCCACCGTGCTCCTTGACCGGTGAACACAAAGATTGGGTTGTCGTGTTTTGAAGCTCTTTTCGACTTCGTGAGGCCTTTGTTGAGCTGGATCTGCAGATCTAGGACAGACTCTGCCACAGCGAAACTGCGAAATTTGAGATGAGTCCGCCGCTCCGATAATGTGTAGGCAAGGTCGGATAAAAACCTCGAACTCGAAGTTGCTTCCTTATTCGATAGGAAATCCCCGTACGATTGAGCCAGTCGCTCTACCGCAGCCTGGTCTCGTGTGCTGAAAGCGAAGAGTCGCTTGTAGTTTTCTTGACGAGGTGAGTCGGAACCCATGCTTATGCCTGATTCAGAGGAGTCGTCTTCAAAAGTGCTCGTAGTGTTGTTTCCTTGGAGGCCCCGGTTTCTCAGGTAGTTATGTGCATCGTCCAGAATAACGTGGGCGTTTGCACCTCCGAAACCGAAGGAGTTGACGCTGATACGTCGCTGGCCCTGCGAAGGCCACGCCATGTTCTCTAAAGGCAAAGCCAGATTCCACTCAGCCAGCTTCAACTTCGGGTTCACTGTCTCGATACCGGCTGTTGGAACGAGCATCCCCTTCTCCAAGCATAGGACCGACTTTAGAAGACCAGCAAGGCCCGAGCAGCCTTCAGTGTGTCCCACATTGGCCTCAATGCTGCCGACGTAGAGGGGGCCAGACTCTGGCGAGCGACCGGAGCCAAGCGTTGCGCCGATTACTGACAGTTCAATGGGGTCCTGTTGTGAGATTAGTTCTGTGGAAAAATTCTACAGCCGTCTATCTTACTTAGACCCAGTGGTGTGCCCGTGCCATGAGCTTCGAAATACTGCGTATCCGAGAACAAGAGCTCGGCCTTCTCGTAGGTACTCCGGATAAGTTCGGCCTGTGCTTCAGCGCTAGGTTGTGTTATTCCTGGCGTCTTGCCATCTGCGTTGGTCCCGGTACCACGAATGACGGCTCGAATGGTATCTCCGTCGCGTAATGCATCCTTCAATCTTTTGACGACTATACATGCGATCCCCTCACCTCGCCCATAACCATTGGCTCTGTGGTCAAAAGAGTGTGAGATGCCCTCGGGACTGAGCATGTGCATTGAGGACAGTTGATGCATGAAATTCGGATGCAAGATCAAGTTGACGAAAGCGGCCAGACCCTTCATTTAGTCACAAATTAGTGGCCAAGTCCCTCACCAACATAGTAGGCTCACGTACCATGTTGGTTTCGCCCAGCTTAAGTGACTGGCAAGCCAAGTGCAGTGCGTATAAGCTCGATGAGCAGGCTGTGTCAAGGGTGAGGCTAGGCCCACGAAGTCCAAAAAACCAAGAAACCCGGTTTGCGGTCATCGCTTGACTCATTCCAGATGCCGCGACATCTCCGACGTCGTGAATGTCGTGAGTTGAAAGTTGTTCGTAATCGCTCGTCATACAGCCAACGTAGACTCCCGTCTGAGAATTCGTCAGATCGCCCACTGCAATCCCCGCTATACTTCGTATTCATCATGAGCTCTGAGACAAAGCCTGAGGGTCACTCACCATTTTCGAATCCTTCGTAACTGACTTCCAGCAACAATCTCTTCGTTGGATCCATTCCAGCTGCCTCCTTGGCAGTCATGGAGAAGAATGGCGCATCAAAGACGGAAACATCTTGCTCCAGGAAGTACCCGTGCTTCACACTAATCTGTGGTAATTGGTCTGTTAGTGAAACTCGGTACTACGATCTTCGAGTGGTGGTACTCACAGATCCTTTACGGTCAGGGTCGGGATGATACCACAAATCTGCGTCCCACCGCGAAGATGGCACCTTTCCATGGGCACTTCTGCCATGGCTAATCATGTCCCATAGTCTCCCCACTGATGTTGCCTCTCCAGGCAGGAGGCAGGCTGTGCCAATGATGGCGATCGGCTCTTGTTCGTCGCACGGGCTCATGATGGACTTGCTTGATGTGGCTTGGGTAACTGTGTTGCGATAAGCTGTTTGAATGGGTTGACGTGCATGCAATCTGTGAACTTTCTGATGCCTTGGAATTCTTCCTAATGATCGATAGTGAGGCAATTCCAACCGGTATCAATCAATAATTCTTGAGCCTGCAGTAGTAGCATTGTCCATCACCGGCAACCTATTGTGGGCACACCCCTGCCGATTACCACATTCAGCACTGGACAGGACCTTCGGCTCATCCTGATTCGTGAAAAGGTCAACAAATTTCCCGATTAAGACGGCCGTAACCTAGATGACAGGCCTCGACAAGCTTTGGTTCATAGTTGATAGTGGCAGTGAAGAAGTAAATTTTCAGACAGATTCCTGTTACTTTCTTCCTTCGCTTTCGCAACTCAGAAACTTCCCTTGTCGTGAAATTAATTTGGTATTTGCTGCTGTCAATATGAGGATTCTTGCATTGCATGGTGTCGGCAGTTCTGCCAAGATCCTAGAGAGCCAGCTGTTGGGCTTGATGAGATCGGTCGACGCAAGCTACGAGTTTGTGTTAGTTGATGGAGCTGTACCATCGCACCGAGGGCCCGGTAAGAACACCACCAACATACCATACCCTATGGAAATCTTCTCGAAGATGACCACCGCACCACTTCATGATCAAGCATAATTAAGACTAGTCGAAGCTAATGCTGAGATGAATCTTAGGCATGAGCCCGGCTCTTAGCGGACCGTTCTATTCTTACGCGACGGGATACTCGCCCTCAGAAATCCAAGCTGCGCACCACCAAATCGCTGCCACAGTCGACGAGCTAGGCCCATTCGATGGCATATTAGGCTTCAGTCAAGGCGCATCACTAGCACTGTCCTACATCTACCCCCAACAAGTCAACGGCGAAGACCCTGACTTCAAGTTCGCCGTCCTTTTCTCATCCGTCCCATTCTCGGCAGACTCGACATACTGCGAGGGCGAAATCGACCAACTCTGCTCATATCGCCGCAGCGGAATGCACGCCAAAGACCTCGCTCCTCGGCAGCAAGTCTTCAACGACTGTCTAGTTCGGACGTTCCAATCTGCTTTGAAGATTGGGGCTGTTCTGCCGGACTTCAATCAAGATTTCTACAAGGATATAGGCGCCACAGTCCCTCGTGTGCTGCATCCCATGTTACTTCCAGAACGCATACACATTCCAACGGTCCACGTGTCTGGCAGGCGAGACTTTCCCTTTATGCACGGTATGCATGAGATAGGGTACCAGATGTGTGATGCGAGACTTTCCAAGAAGTTGCATCACTCAGGAGGGCACCATCCACCCAAGAAGGAGTCAGAAATCAAGGCCGTTGTGAGGGCTATGGAATGGGCGGTGGATCAATACTACCGACAACCCCCATCATTTCTGTGATTGAAGGAGTAAAAATAGACCATAGCGATCATCTGAGATTTTGGATATGCCGAGTCTACCTTACTCAGTATAACTACGTCTCAAATTCATATCATTTTTATCATCATCTGTGGAGGCAATACTACTGTATTGGATCTGATGATGATGATGGGAAAAGCTGAGCGCTGGCTGGGCTGGATATCTGGGCAAGGTGTAGGTGGGGCAGCTCCGAGATGTGAAGGAGCTGCCTCACGTGACCCACCTGCACCTGCCACAACAGGTCCTGATCCTGAACATATCCTTTGTGATATATTGTCGGCACGTCCTTTTGTTACCAGAAGTTAAATACATCATCATCATCATCATTTGTGATATATTGTGAACACATACCTCGAAAGGTACCCACTGTTAGTAATTGTTAAGGTTATAGAGGGCTACGGCCCACTGCACTATCATCTCTCAACATCAGCCCATACGAGCTGAATTCCACGACCATGGCGGTCTCCCTAGATGTAGGGCCATCGATCACGGTTCACGGGGACGCCGGTATATCTCGGCGGTCGGGACGAGTCCGGAAGCCGACTGCAAAGGTCAGAGTGGTTGAGCAGGTCAACCACCAGGACAATTCTGAGCTCAAAGACGAGATCAATAAGCTTTCGAATCTGGTCCAGGACCTCCTGCGTCGGGACGCCGAGAGGGAACAGTTTTTGAAAGACTGTTTGACGAAGATCGAATCCTTGGAGAGAGAGCTTCAGGAGGAGAAACAGCGTTCAAACCGGCATCAACGTGGTCTAGCAAGGTCTATGCACGCTATTGGCACAGGGCCTAGCGAGACTGACCTGAGTTCCCAGGGGCATCCCTCGCACACAACCCAGAACTAGCCGCCCCCAGTCCGTTCATACGCGGCGGCGGCGAGCCAGCCACTGTCCAGAAGATAGGATGAACCAACGCCAGCCAAACAAGCCGCAAAACAAGCTACAAACCGGGCGGCCTTAAAGGATCTACGCGTCTTCGCGCGTCTATCGCCTGAAAGCCCGCTTCGGAACGAGAAAGCCTACGATATATAGATCTTCGTTCGGGAAAGGCTAAGTCCCCAAGCCCGAGAAGCCCTTAAGGGGATCGACCATGTTAAGATAGGATTAGTACTCCTACCTTCGTTAATAGAAGGTACAAAAGTCCTGCTAGAGAATAGAGAACAGATCGCTACCCTTCTCCAAGCGCAAGCGATCGAGCAACGCGATACCTAGATCCGAGCCTATATCGTAAACGTCCCTTACACCAGGCATTGTCTGGTAACCAACACTGAGCTGGAAATCACGACCGAGGAGCTCCTTAAAGAGATCCAGGTCTCGACGAAACTCAAGCCTAAAAAAGCATACTTCTCTAGGAAGGACGAAGTCGAAAGGCTAGGCACGGTAATAGCCTAGTTCAAGGCGGAAGCCGTAAGGTAACTACTAAGACGCCTCCGTTTAATGGGGGCTAGCGTTTTTATAAACCTGCAGTTCCCGAAGGAGAAGAGGTCTCCTTAATGTCTCCGCTGCGGCGGTTTTCACAACGAACGAACGTGCACCAGAAGGAAGAGATGCCTCAAGTGCAGCTCTCCTTCCCACACAACTGATCAACACCGGGCACCCTGCGGCGGCACTGAGGGTCACGATGGCTGCGACTGCCCCTTTAAATGCCCGTCGTGTAACGGGCCTCACGCCGCCTTCGATGCGACTTGCCCTATCCAACCCAAAGTGGTGAAGGGGGTAGTCCAGAGGAGGGATAAGGCTCAGCTACGGGCCATCCGAGCTGAGGGAGAAAGATTATGGAGAAATGCGACCTAGTAGTCGCATCGACATTCCCGTGAAGAAGAATAAGCGATGGACTGTACCCCGGCGAATGAGACACAAAAGAAGAATACAGCCCTCTAAAACCCTGTAAATTATGCAAGCGAATGTGGGCAGGCGGGCATCCGCCTACGAAACAGCACTAAACCTGGCTTACGTAGCCCAGATCGATATTCTCCTAATATAAGAGCCGTCTATCCGTTTGGAAGAGAGGAGGCTCACAAGACACCACCTAGGTTTTGAGACTTTCACCCTAGTAGATAACTGGACCGAAGACCGTCCCAGGGTACTTACCTACCTCCGTAGAGGAACTGGGGTACGAGGCGTATAAATACGGCCTCTACCCGATCTATCCACAGACCTGCTCTTCTTACGACTCCTCTCAGGAACGAAGGAGGTCCTCACAGTTATTAACGTATATAACGCCCCTCGTGGCTCTCTGCGATCTGGCCAGGCTCTCAGGAACATCCTAGGGGCCTGGCAACCCAAACCTGAGGATCGAGTACTGATTGCGGGGGATTTTAACTTACACTATTGGACGTGGCAGCCCGAGGCTACGAGTTCCCCGGACGTTGAAAACCTAGTAGAATGGGCAGAAGCCGCTAGCCTTGTCCTAATGTTACCTATAGGTGAACCCACGCACAAAGGCGGCAACACCCTAGATTTATGCTGGGCGTCCAGTAACCTCCATGGGGCTTCCACCAGCATAGAAACGTCACTACACACGACATCAGACCACGAATCTCTGCTTACCCGGGTCCCCTTGGCCCTGATCGATTCACCTAGCCAGACCCCGGGAAGGTTTCGGCTCGACACGATGGACGAGGAGCTTTTCCTCGGCATCATTAAACGTAACTTACAACCCATGCGCCGCACTGCAAGCAATATCCAAGACCTACAGTCTTTAGATCTCCTAGCATAACAGCTTACGGACTGTCTTATTAAAGCACTTACGGCTTCCACAAAGCGCACGCTCGGGAAAGGTACAGGGAGACTATACTGGAGCGAGAGCTGTATACGTAAACACCGAGCCTATGCGAGTAAGCGAGCGATGTTAGTAAGACTCTGCGCAGCCGGAGTGAACTGCTAATGGGAAGAAGAGGAGGTCGAAGCTCTAAAACAGGACTTCCTTTACGAGTTTAAACGCTCCAAGGATGCCTTTTGGAAAGATAAGATCTCCTTAGCCTCCTCAAGTAAAGATATATTTGAAATGGTCGGTTAGTACAAAGCTATAGGATCCTTTCAGACCCCGCTACTCCGAGATGTAGATAACCAAGATACGCTTGTCTCATAACTAAAAGAGAAGCGCGACTTATTTACCCGCGTCCTCCTTAGAAACGCTGCAATCTCCGAGGACATTCCAACAGAAAGCCCAGTCCTACAAAGGCAAGCTACGCTTCCTTTTCCGTAGGTTACGAAGGACGAGGTACGGTCTTCGGTTCTTACCGCGGGAAACACGACTCCTGGGACCGACGGAATTACTACGACTGCTTTGAAAATAGCATGGCCAGTTATCGAGGATATTGTCCTCTTATTTTATAGCGGGTGTATATGCGAGGGTTGGTATCCTACTTGTTTTAAAGAAGCAACTCTCGTGATCCTAGTAAAACCGGGAAAAAGAGACAAGATACTCCCGCGCTCCTATAGGCCAATTGCGCTCTTGGCCGTCCTCGGAAAAGGCTTGGAGAGACTTATCGCTAGACGACTTGCCTGGATCGTAGTTAAAAATCGTGTTCTGCACGATCAACAGTTTAGAGCACTCCCTCTTCGCTCTTGCAGCGAC